AGATAATCCTGTGCGAGATCTTGACATCGTGACGGGGACGATGTATTTTTGTTTTTCTTAAACTAGTTCGGTCGGGTGGAAACTATTGCTAACGGTTCGGTTTTGACTCGCAATATTATTTTCAATATGCCCTATCGGCTGTCACTATGATCCGTATACATCTGTTTGCATGTGAAAACCCGACTGGGGTCATTTTCATCTGCAAACTATCATGTCAATTGCAGTGGCAATAGTTCTACAGTTACATACAACTTGCCTGGACCCTTGTCCCCCCAAGAACTCTGTCAAGTTTGACTTTCTGAAGGGGGGAGGGGGAAAGAGCCACCTGCGCTAATTGTGATTCAACGGACATCCTCTGCACGTTCCAAGCTGAAGTCCTAGCACACACGGGACGCGAAAGTTTCTATCCACGATGAGATTAAGATTAATAATCCTAATATACGTAGGACAGGAATCGGGGGTCCCCCGAACAGACAAATATCCCGTTCAATATCTACTTGAGTCATGTACCGACAGGCTGGAGACAACATAAGGCAAGATTTAGAGGAAAACCAACAAAAGGCCACGCGAAATTAACGATACCAAGCCGGACCGTTCCCAGACCCACCCGATAGACCGCCTCGATCGGCGTGGAGAGAAAAGAAGATGGTGAGAACCTTTTCATTAGGGACTAGTGGTTTTTTCCCGGATAAGGGGGCAACTGTTAAATTAGCCCGATACGAAGATACGCCTAGTCGATCCCTATGATGTGGGCAAGGCGCGTCTCGCTGCCGAGATTCCCTTGGAAAATGGCCCCATTTTGGGCTTTTCATTTCATTTTTTTTCATTTTTTAATTTTGTTGCTGCTCCACGCCAATCTTGACGATGGATCCCAAAAGAGGGAGTCTCCGTTTTATTGACCCACTTGATGCTACAGATTGGTGCGCCGTTCTTCTGCGAATCCCGAGCTACCGGAGAATTCCCACTGTGGTCCGCAGGTAAACAAAGACGTTGAGCTCCGGGAAAATCATCTTTGGGAGGGGGTTTCCGCTATAGTGTATTGCCAGGATTCAATTTATATTTGGCCCCTGGAAAACTTACAGCTTTACAGGCACAGGGTCACAGGTACGCAGATCTTGCCGTTGGAGCTTGACGAAGTTCTTCATTGCATTTACTTTTTCACGCTAAAGCTAGTTCTGCAGTATCCAGATCGATACGAGACGGAGATAAGAGCCAAAGACCCGAGGCGAGATTAGTAGCCACGAGGTGAACGAAATCTTCTGGTTGAGATCCGCCTCAGTGGATTCATTGTGGATGCGACTATTGCTCCAGGTTTTCCCATGTGCCGTCCTTCCAGAATATTAACGTGGAATGGGAAAGGCGAATCAACACAAAAACAGAAACAGGCTCCATTCGTCAATCTTTGTCCGTAACGACTATTAATTTTGGTTTCCCGGTTCGGTATTGAATCCACGATGGTATTTCGCAATCGCTACTAGTGCCCGTTTGGCTCGAGATATCCCGTGTTTGCGATGGGGTCGGTGGATTCTGCATTGCGGTGGCAATGAGAGCGATCATTCTCTAGGTGCGCGTCATCTTAGGACCTGGCTAACTATAGTTCTAGCTTCCATGATTCAGGTTTTGACCGCTGGTCTGACCTGTCCCCTAGTGAATGCCAGAAAAATGCCTTTTTTTTTTTTTTTTTAGAAAAAAAAAAAAAAAAAAGAAAAACGGTGGACACAACGAATAAGGGAAATTCCTTCCGATCCAGAATCAAAGCGAAATGAACAAATCAAGTGAGGAGAAATGCACTTGTGGCGACAGTTGATCATCCTCGCACGAGCCCTGCAACGGCGCCTTGACAGTAGTCTCGTCCCGGGGTTTGAACTCGCGCTCCGGGAGGCATCCAAATCCAGGGGAACGCATACTCAAATGACGCTAGATGTGTCTATCTGCAGGATGCTCGTTCTGTCGATAGGTGGCATGGTTTTTTCGACTTTTGTTTCAGGGATCGTTGCTTTATGCTTTTTTGGCTAACTTCGGCCGAGTCGTGGCAGAGAAAATGCCGGTTTCGACTTCAAACATCCATGCAAGGCTAATGCATCGGAACCTTCCCGTTGCGCTTGAATGGGTTTATCGGACTTGTCATCGCATGCCATATCTGCAGCTTCTGCTTCCATACTGCATAGTGCATCGAGATCAGCGGTCGGATTTTGTTCGATCGGCACTGCTTGACATGACGGGGTGTTCTCTGGCAGGAGTACGTAGTACTAGCTGGCCTGTTTGTGCTGTCGGAACATAGTCTCTTTTGGAAAATCGGAGGCTGGGGACTTCGCATTGAACTGTCTCTAGGAGCTGTCCGAATGGAGGTTGTATGCCGGCGTTCGAGGCATGAAACAATCTACGCATGGTAATCGGGTGCGAGGTGCTAAAAAGAGTATAATGCACGTCAAATTTAGTCTCAAAAAGTGCAGTTCAAGTCAAATTCTATTTCAAAATGCTTCGTTTTGTCTTGTCGAGTTCATGGCTGCTAGGGCAGGGATGTATTTCAAATCTGTGATCTTCGCCTCGAATGAAGACACCCGGGGCTGTATCCTGAAGCTGAAGGATTGCGTTAGCCTGTAGGCGTAGGCGGCATCGACTGCATCAACTGTGTCGACTGCACTTGATATATCAGACTGGGTCTGGTTAAAATAGAATGGGTGCTTGACAGGTGCTTGACAGGTGCAGTCTAGACCGCCCGCGAAATGAGGAGAAATTTGAGTTTGTGTGACAGCTGGAGCTAATCCACAACCAGACACTCTCCCCTTCATGAGGAACCAGGATTTGGAATCCCCCCCCAACTTTGACATTCCAAATCATCGCCAGGGTCTTTTTACGGAGTACAGTTACAGGTACTGCCTTGAACTGTACACCCTCTGTACACTCACAAATTTCCGTCGCCTAAACCTGGTGGCAACGATCCAATGACCAATGACAGTATCCACTCGGCTTGCTTCTCCTCCCAAAACCCAGGGATACGGTTTGACTCCACAAAAACCTCTAGGGAAATGAGAACGAAGATCCAGAAATTAACAGATGGAGAAAGAAACGCCAAATACGGGAATGAAGAGGAACAGGTTCGGTCTCGGACCCTCACAAACGATGGGATCCTTCCCATTGGGAGCTCTCATTTCTCCTCCAACCCACCCGATCATCTTCTGCAACAGGAAGGAGTCATAGAGCTAGTGTCTATTCTAGTGCCTGGCGGAACGAGATAGATCCGTGCGATCATCGACAGCAACAGCCGAACGATCGGCAATCTTCAATTAAATCAACCACCCGCGACTATCGACCGTAGACACATGGGCTGGGCCCCGCAGATCCACGGGCCCTCGGAACGTCAAACCTCCCTGGCAGGAAAACGGCTACGTTCAGTCCCGGGTATCGTTTTTTCTCCACTCCCTAGCAAGGGGCCAGGGGGGAATTGCGGGCTCCACTGTTAAATCATAAGGAAAACCACTCTGGTCTACTCCCAATTTTGGTTCGGATCCCCGATACCTGAAGCCCGAGGTTTCCACCGTCGTTCTTTCTCTCCTTTTCTAGAAAGTGGGACCTCGTTTTTGACGGGGGTGGATAAAATCGTGTTGGAGTTTAGACGACAAGAAAAGGGGGAAGTCCGACTGACCAGTTTCTCGTATGCTTCGATGGTTATGGTCCGGGAGACTAAGACGGATTCCTGATCTGCCAGTCTTAGTGCCAAAACATGGCGCGAAATGGGAAGCAAAAAGTACCAACCCTTAAAGACCAACCATAGGGACATAATCCTAGCGCAACCCTCGGGTTTGGCTTGCTTGAGCGCTAACTTTCGGTTGCCTGCCCCCAGTCTTTGAATATCCTGATTTTCTTCTCTCGAGGGAAAATCAAAAAGCCAAATGACTCGGTGGCGATCTGTCATGTTCCCCCAGGCTTTGTCTCAGATTCATGTGTCACCGAGGCGCCTAGCCCTTGGCCAAACCATCCATAGTATTCCAACAACCCGTCGCTACCCATTGCCAACCGGAATCTTGAAAGGGGAGGTCAGCAAATCCCGAATGGCTTGAAATGACCATGCTGAGAGGGGGGAAGAAGGGGGGCTGGGCGGAAAATCGCTCCGGTACTTTTGGCTAATTGGATGGATCACGATTGACGAGGGGATCGACTGGGGAAATGGTTGGTGGAAGGACAAGAACCAGTCCAAGCGTATCCCCTTTCCGTCGCGTGCAGAGTGCATATGCAATGCAGCTTACCGTTTTAAGTGCCATGCGATCGAGTCCTTTCACAAATGACATCTCAGTTCGGACTATGCTTGTCGTGGGGAAAGGTCCGATTGAGTGACTGGGGCGTAGGCCTGGATGCGCGCGTCGTATGATTTTCCCTTCGTTAAGCTTCCAGGTTAGTCTGACTGTGTCCTGCCTAGAGTGATCTCAGGGTCATATGCGGTGTTATGACTGGTGGGTGTCCGATTAGCTTTGCATGTGGACAATTGAAGACTCGGTGATGTTATAAACAGGAAGGTCTAGATGCTGAATTACGGCACTTCCTAACTTGACGTTGCTTTTTCCCCACCTTATTTGATTTCTTATAATCGGTCTTATCTTCAATTTGTAATTGCGCTGTAGAATAACCGGTGAGAAGCTGGCCAGGCCGTCTTATGAGTACTTTGTTATAGCCTCTGCCGCCTGTTCAGATCCTGTCCGGCCCCCAAGGTGGCCGGCCTTTCATATTTAGTACATCCCACAGCATGGTTGACTTGAAAAGATACTTCACTTACCTCCCAATCCACCCCTACCCTTACCCCTACCCCTTCCTCGTCATCTTCCATGCAGTAATTACGACGCAACTCATTCACTTCCAGCATCCATAGCACGTGACCATCTGGGCCTCGACGCGTCCAACGGCGCGGGGAATGATAATCTCCAACGTCTTTTCTCCCCGCATCCGTCAACTCCCCACCTCACTCTCCTGATTCATCAGGCTTTCAAATCAAATTATAGTTGAAGATGGCAAATTCATTGCTTACGCTGGCTGAGATTCCCGTTCTCTCCCAGCTCTATCGGAGCGGCTTGCTCTCCAAGCCAGCCCCACTACGTACCGAGGACTCGACCCAATCCGACAATGGAAGTGGCGCCACTAAACTCACCCCGAGACAACCCGTGCAATCCCTGAATAACATGGTATCCTACTTGCAGGCTGATATCACCAAGCTCAAAGTTGATGGCATCGTGAACGCTGCAAATCGTGCCTTGGAAGGTGGCAGTGGAGTCAACGGCGTGATCCAACGTGTTGCTGGGCCTCAGTTACTACAGGATTGCCTGAAACTCGGTGGCTGTGAGACTGGCGATGCGAAATGTACCCTTGCTTATGATCTACCTTGTGAACGTGTGATCCACACCGTCGGCCCGGTGTATGGGATGGAGTACAGGATGGATCCACGACGCCCCGAAGCCCTTCTGCGATCTTGCTATCGTCGCTGCCTTGAGGTGGCTGTCGATCGGGGAGTGAGAAGCATCGCTTTCTCGTGTATCAGTACTGGTATCTATGGGTACCCCAATAGAGAGGCTGCGATCGCGGCCGCGGATGAAGTCCGCAATTTCCTTGAGACTTCTCAAGATGCACCCAAGATTGATCGTGTTATTTTCTGCCTTTTCCAAGATGTGGATGTGAGAATTTATAAGCAGGTCCTTCCGTGAGTGTTCATTTTCCCTCGTTTCGACGTCCACAGATGCTAACCCGTCTACAGTCTTGTCTTCCCTCCTACAGATGATGACCTTAAGGAGTTGAATGATGATGCTTGATCTGAATATTTCTTGATATGAATGGGGCGTTTCTTTTTGTCTTTCTTTTATTTCCACCTATGGGTATGCAGCGTGATGAGACGACGACGATATGTGACTATGTACATTAAGAAGGACAATTCACTTCCTCCAACTTGATTACAACTGTACACTGGTATGTCCTGGTAGTCTTAGGTTGTATTTCGCATGGATTTTGGATTCTTTCCCACCCTGGCGAGTTTTCCTCAAACGTCAGTGTCCGTCATCTAGGTTGACGTAGCGATGACTGAGAATCGTAGCCTGAGGCTTCAATCTCGAAGTTCTAGAACTTCGTAGACCATGAACCCTCACGACTAATCTCTGTTGGTATGAACACTCAATATTAAATTTGTATCTCTTATTCTTCTGGAAAATTTATCACTTGTCTCGATTCATGGGATTTAAAAACCGAACCCGAGCCCTTCTGCTACCTTCCGTGCTCGTGAACGCGGCAGCTCAGCGTCAGTGAAATATCTCTAGATACCAAAACTAACCTCAAGAATGACCTGACACGCTTCAAACAAGGAACAGGCCCAAAGAATACTTCACATGTCTGATCTACGATATCGCTTTTATAAGCTTTTTCTATCAACTGCTCGGGGGCTCTGTTACGAAGGCTCATAGATCACGGCTCAGCAGCCTGACTTTGTATCTTCATAGGGCTAACGTAATCATAAGTGAGACATGGGAGCCGACCATATCAGTCAATTCCAATTGGCTTAAGCTGCCTAGCACTGGAATGTAACACTTGTGCAGCTTGGCTTTTGGTACAACCCTTTCGAAAGTGGGTTGAGGCTCGAAATCATGGCTCAGGCCGAAGGGAGTGGAAGATGAAAATTCAAATATTGAAACGGGAAATTGACCACCTTCCATTCTACTTCATCCGCATTGGCTTAATGAGATCAACTTCAGACTTGCACCGTGAAGTTCGGCTTGCCTTTGGCTCTAAGGGTAGCAATATTTCCTAAATACGTTGAGACTAGTAGATCATAGCTCATCAGAAGTCATAGAAATTGCTCAAAGATTCTAAATAGGAAATGTCCATCTGCCGTCTGGACTGATCTTTACATCTACAGGCTGAAGACCCTGTAGTGGGGGCCTGATTACTGTACCAACATGTCTATGCTTCGGGTAGCAACGCCCTCAAAATTAGCTCAAGGAGGCTCGCTGATCATGGCTGAGCACTGCAAGCTGACGGCGTCAAAATCGAAACTGAAATATTGGCATCCACCATGTTGGTCTATTCTAATTGGCTTAAGCAGAGCAGTTGTGGGCCTGGTTTTCCACTTTAGTAGTAAGGCTTAGCTTTGGGTAGCAATCCTTCTGAGAATAGGTCAAGGAGCCTCAAGGATTATGGCTCAGCACTGAGGGTGACGGCGGTTTGACTTATAAAAATTCAACCGAAAAATGGCCGTCCGCCACCTTGGATCACTCTCATTGGTTTAAGCAGGCCTGTCCCACAACTGCAATAGTATGGCCTACTTTCGGGTAGCAACCCTTTCAAGCACAGGCTATAGCGGCTCTTGGATCGTGTCTTAGCTGCAAACCTGTGCTTGTGCTTATGGCTTTTGACTTGAAGGCTGCAAGAGCCTGATTTACTATGGCGAATTGTAACATTATCCGGTGCTGGATAGATGCTCTACACACAGCTTCAGTGACCGAGCGGGTTCTGTAGATCATGGTTCAGGTCGACGTCATCCATAATTGGAGATCCAAACTAAAAAATGCTGGTCAAGCATCTTGATTGATCTCTATTGGTTCTTGAGTGGAAAGTGGTGGGCCTAATCTAGACAAGAACTCTGAGGTTGGGGAGGACTCGTAGATCACGGCTCAGTGAAGGAGTGATGAGCCTCCTTCTTCAGGAGGAAATGAAACTAAAAAATGGCCGTCCAACTACTTTCTTTGATCTGATTGGGTTGGAGGCTACGGTGGGCCTAATCTAGGATTGCAACCCTTTTAAGGCTGGGGAATGCTCGCAGATCATGGCTCAGGGAAGGGTTATCTGCATTCATTTAATGATAACTAAAAGTGTCTGTCCAACTACTCAGACGGTTCTGATTGGCTGCGAGTAAAATAGGAGCCTGATCAATCATGGCAGGTTGCAATATCTCGTCATTGGCTAGATCCTCTACAGGCGGCTTACGGTGACCAAGCGGTTATATCATGGCTCAGGTCGTCGTCATCAAGGCTGTGGCTGAGTCTGAAATTTTAACTGAAAGTTGGCGGACCACTGTCTTCCTTGATCTCGATTGGTCTTTGAGCAGAAATTGGTGGGCCTAATCTGAGATAAAGACTCTTCCTAGGGAGATTTTTGTAGGTGTAGACTCCGCATCAACGATCTGCTGTTGCTCATCCTGGAGGAGATATTCTCAACTAAAAAATGGCCACCTTACAATACAATTAACTCTGATTGGCTTTCAGAGCGATGGTAGGGCTAAGTTGAGCATAAAGCCTTTCCAAGCTAGGGGCTGGGGGTGGTCTTGAATCACGGCTCAGAAAAGGAAGGGGCGTAGCTGAAAAGCGCGCGGAATCGGAACTAAATATTGGCCATCTACAGACTCGACTAGCTCTGATTGGCTTGGAGAACTGTATTGATCAAACCTTTGGCATCCACTTTCCCAATGTCGGTAGATCCTGGCCCATCTTGAACATCCAAATCATAACTCGAAAATGATTGACTACTGGATCAATTTTGATTGGCTTTCAAGCGCGATGAAAGCAAATCAGCAGGTACCGGGATGCATGAGGTGAGATATTAGGCAGCAACCGCCCCCATGTTGGGCATCAAAGTGATAGATCAGCCTCTCTACCACTTGAGGCTGTTAAAGTATCATCAAAGCGGATATAGTGCCTTTATCTTGAATTTCACACTTTCTGATCTCGACATGGCTTTGTTCAATATAGCATACATGCAGTGGACCATGGCAAAGGTCGTATCAGAACAATAGGTATTATCAACCAGAGAAGCCTGTGAGGTTTTCCTGTATTCCAAGATCGCCAGATTTGCTCTAAGCTTTATTTTGCTCAGGCGCCGCTTATGGCCCCCACTACGAGCATGGAGCAACGATCAGCATGTTCAATCCACTTTCGCTAGCCAATTTGCTTTGGTCTCTAATGCAGGAGAAGCTGTTGATCTGCTTTATCTGGTCACAGCATCAGTTCTGATAAGTATTGTTTTGTTTTGGTGTTGATATGGTTTTGGTTAGTTTTACATCGGCCAAGGTATGAGATTCTCCAGAATGTTTCTGGCCATTGAACTTTGAGGATCCGGACTTCGATCCTCAGCAGGCCCAGCTCTTTATTGATTGATCTGTTTGTCTGCACAGCCATTCTTCTACAACGTAATCCCCGATGGACTCCAGCCCCACCATTGTATTTATGCCTTGCTATAGGCCTCGTAGACATGCTCCAATCGGAATCAACCCGTATGGTCCTCGGCGTTTTCTTGGTTTCACTTTTCTTAGGAACCTACAGCTTGAGGCTCATCTATAACCTGCACCTGAGCCATGATTCTCAAAGGACCGAGCTATGCTTATGTCCATGCTATGAGGCTTGGTCTGATAGAGCTAGGTGGATACAGCCGTTAATCATTTTAGTATCCAATTTGAATGTCGGTGTGAATAGCGATGAATGTAACGCCATTATATCGATTCAGACCGAGTAACAGGACTCGAACTAGGTATTGAATTTCCAGATAAAGGTGATCAGGAGAAGGGAATGACTGGCTCGAGCACGGTGGTATAGAGGTATCACAGCTCAGTTTCATTAACATGTCTCGAAATCCTTGACCTTGAATAGCTTTACAAAATACTCCTATGCAAACGATCTTCAGAAAAATATGCAAGCTGTGGATTATCGATTCTGTGAATCGTAGTTCGATTACTGCAAATTTAAAAAAGAGAGAATAACCCTAGATTCCCGAAAAGAAAAGCTAAATAATGACAAAAATCCCCGAATGCTATGCGTGTTCGTAATAGTGGATATAAAAATTAATGATTACTGCGAGACAATCCGTATATCTTCATGCTTCTCCTCCTGCAACCGATCAATCTCAGAAGAGATACTCATCACCCACCGATCCTTCTCAACGCGACTCCGCGCCTTGAACACGATCGTTCGACCGTGCTTGCCAAGCGTCGAAACATGCCGCAGAGACCGCTTCGCAGTTCCCTGGAGTGTGTGTTCCTGGGCACGGAAAAGGCTCTTCTTGGTGGGTTGCCAGATCACGAATGTGATGGCGGCGTCTCCATCTCGGCTGGTGAATGAATCGGATGCAAGGTAGACTCGTGGTAGAGCGCGGAGACCAGGGTTATTACTATCGAATGTTTGATTGGCGTATAGCAGGTCATTTTCGGTGATTATGCCTGAGTAGATGTAGCAGTCGTGTAGATCAATGGTTGTTTCGTGTTCTTGGTGGATATGGGGAATTTTGACGCCGTTGTGTTTGCGAAGTGTGCTTCGGAAGATGAGGAGCTTGCCGTCGGAGAGGATAACGTGGCAGCGGGAAAATGTGGTGTGGCGACGGGGTTTGCGGTAGAGCTGACCGGACATCTGGATTCCCATGGTAAGTATTGAAATTAAGAACTCGTGAGATGCAATCACATACCTTGATTGTCCGACAGCCGGATAACGCGCACATGTTGTGTAGGTGTGGTGATGCCTCGGCCTTTTTGACCTCCCATTTCTCTGCAAATTGGCCGACGATTGACTCCATCTCCTCATCAATCTCCAAAAGCTTGAGATTACGCTGGCGCACAGCGATCAGTTCAGCGGCATCGTCGGCATGGCGTGCTCTCCAGTATTTGACCAGAGCATCTAGTCTTTTCACCCATTCGTCGCGGGTGACAGGGTCGTATGCTTGCAGACGGATGACCAAATCATTCTCAAGTGTCATCTCAAATGTCCGGTCATCATCAAATTGCTTGGTAGCACCATCGTCCTGGCGTGAACTAGTCCCCTCGGGTTGAAAGTCAACAGCTGGTCCTTCTTCAATATTAGGATCGGCAGGACTGCTTCCCCATCGCATGCGGCGTACTTCACGCACTTTGCAAAGGTCAATGTATCCATCCGCATGATTGATGTTATGAACTTTCCTTTGCCACTGTGCATAGGCATTCTCATCGTGGCGTTGGACATACTCTGGGTTTCCACTGGACAGCCATTCAACGTCATCATCTTGAATTGGGTACGGGTCAATATCCCAGGTTATTGGTGCTTGGTTTAAGATTTCTTCAGCTGACGGCACGTTCGAATCTTCCGACTGTGCAAGCTTCGGTGGTGCAGGAGGAAGCGCCTTGGCAGGTCTGCAAAACAGCAGGTGTTGGTCTTCGGTGTAGAAGTAGAGACGTTTGTAGAACATCTTGTTCATTCTCTGATGCACGCCTTTCTGTGACGTGAGGCGGACCAAAAACCCCTCCAATGGCGGTGGCTCCTCTTCCTTTTTATCTGCCAGCTTTTTGATCGCGGTCGAGTAGTGGTAGCGTGGCCGAAGCTCGAGTTCATGGGATGACTGCATGGCGATTGACCCATACATGTTCTCTTCGTTTACGCCGAAGACCCACTCGAGACGGTCATATCGCTTCCAGGCAAGGCCCATCTTCTCGGTTTTGGACCAAGCCTTCAGCACCTCGGCCCACTCGGATCGACCTTCGAGCATTTCTATACAGCCCCGAATAATGGCAGCGGCAGCGTGTTTTTCCTCCTTTGCAGCTCGGCTGAGCACTGTAGTGTGATGGTTGTCATCATGGCCCAGACCAAGCTGGGCTTCCAGCTGCTGGAATGGGTTCTTGAAGATCAATGAGACGCCAAGGTCAGGGACATTAATAGGCAGCTTGTCAGGCCGTTGCCACCCAAGTACTTGTCGAATAAATGTGTACCATTCAGCACCATGGGCGGAAGACTTGGGTCGAATTATGAAGATCTTCGTGCCACGCTTGCAGGGATGCCAAATGACGATGGTCTTGTCCAGCGAAGAGTAAAGATTGACCCGGGTATTCCTGTGGTTCAGAAGAACCTCATAGTATGGCCGTATCTTGACCCTCGAGTTTTGAACGTCAGGGATTACACGAGTGCGGTACATCTGGAGGACAAAGGGCGCATGCTCGGCTGAGCTCTTGCGACATACAACCAAGAACTCGCGCCACTTATCCACAGTGCGATTGTCCATTCGCATACTGGTATTTTCAGAATAGTCTTCGGGGAGCTTCTCTTTCATCGACTCTTCCACCAGAACCAACATTCTCTCGGCCTTGATAATCTCACCATTTTGCAACTTTCGTCGACGTGGTCGATTCGCAGATATGGTATTCCCTGTCTTAGCAATCTTGGAGCGCAATCTCTGCTGCTTATCCATGATATTATCATCCAAGTTGTATTTCGCCATTTTTCGCGTGATTCGCCCCTGGGCATGTCTCTCTCGCCCTGGGTCTGCTTGTTCGTTGTCATCTTCATCCTGGGGTTGTTGGTGTTCTAACGTGAATCTTGTAACACCAGAAGCCTGACTTTTCTGTGGTTTTTGCTCTTTCCGCTTGCCTTTCAGCAGATTGGTGGTAGAGTCGGTTTCACTTGGAACCCCAGAAGCACCACCAGTATTTCCAATGCTAGGGCCCCCGATGCTCAAATTTTGAGACCATTGCGACTGAGGCCTCTGGTCGGAGAAGGTCAGTCTCGGGCTAGGGTGTATTGTAGATGTAGTAGATTCCGAGTCAGCGCTGCTGCTTACTTCCTCTCTGGCTGTGACGAACGAGGACGATGCGGTTCCATCGTTGTATATGTTTTCTTGTGTCTTCGCACTTGCCGGGGCACTTGGGCGCGGTGTGCTTTCGCCGTCGTCATCATCCTCTGTATAATTATCATTCGTCTCCGTTGCTGTTTCCGTTTCCGTTTCAGTCTCTGTCTCCGTCTCTGTCTCCGCCTGAATAGGCTCCTCTCCTTCTCTTGGAGGGTGAGAGAGTGTACGAAGTTCCCCCTGCGGATCTTCGGAATCCTCTTGTTCGGTCGTTATGTCTTCCTCCTCTTCAGCCGGCGCATCATTGGTATTGGTATACGTGAGGGCAACCTCCTCTTCCAATGGCTGCGATGACGGCTGATGTCCGTCACCGAAGCTTTCTTGCTGATTGTAATGAAACGTGACAGGATCCACTTTAAACGAGAGTGTCTGCGATGTATAATTCTTCAGCTGAAGCCGTGTTCGGTACCAAGATTTTCGGTGGCCCTGAAGCCATCCAGCTGGAATAGGTCCGATGAAGAAGCGCCGGTTTGTCATGTGCAAATGCTGGGCAGAGGCATGTCGCTAGAATTGGGTCAGTCAGTCTGGGATATCAAGGTGGGGTTATGGGTCAAGCATGCCAGTTTCTGGTCCGTAAAGGACCCAACCTGTAGGCCCTTGTAGTGCTCATGATAGATAGGTTCAGTGGTATCTGATCGAGTGCCGTCGGGCTGGGAGGCACTCATAGCACTGGTATATTATCCAAAAGGAGGCTTATTGCAGAGCAATTGACTGCACATGAAGCACTGAAGTCCTTGCGGCGGGGAAATGATCGAATTAGGCACCTATGAACTCGGTGGATCAATCGCAGGATCTCGATGCAACATGATTCCATGACGTCAAACAAGCAAACAAACCAAATTTGAAGATCATGTCACATGATGCTCAACAACAGCATTGTTTGCACTGTTGGCATCTATGCTGCCCCGCCATTGGCTCACGTGGCAGGCAGCGGTGAGTGACAGCTGTTGGTTATCTCCTTGTTGTTTCGAATTCCCTGAACTTCATTTCCTCTTACATTATCGCAATCATGGCTGCTTCTCCTGATACCAATTGGCTCGCAAAGATCGAGGGCAAGTCCTTCGTGAATGTCTCCATTGACTCCGCCAATGGCGATGCTATCAACACTGAGGAGTTCCTCCAGGCTGCTCGGTCCTTGGTCACTCTGTTCGGTATGTTCAACCAGTTCTATTTCGAATACATATTGATACTGATCTTGTCATGCTCTAGACATCCTTGGTGCCACTACTTTCAACCGTGTCATTGCTGATTTGAACACCAACATCGAGGTTCGTTCCCCCCTGCCCCTCATTCTGCCATAACACCGACTGATGTCTATCATAGAAAGTGCAAAAGCGCAAGGATGCTGCTCCTGCTGAGTCTGAGACCCTCCAGGACCTCGTCCGCAATGAGTTGAAGTCTGGCCAGCACAAGGCTACTGAGGGACTCCTTTGGTTGGTCCGGTAAGTTGCTCTTGCCCAATGCAAACAAGCCATCACATCCCCATAGTCCAACTGGAAACTGATAATATGTTGAATAGCGGCCTCGATTTCACTGTCCAGGCTCTCCGCCACAACCTCGACAACCCCTCCTCCCAGCTCTCCGTTTCTTTCAACCAGGCTTACGGTACCACCCTCAAGCCCCACCACAACTTCGTTGTCAAGGGTGTCTTCAGCGCTGCTATGGGTTTCTGCCCCTACCGGACTACCTTCTTCCGCAAGGTTGACGACAAGAACGCCAAGGCCGCTGATAACGAGAATGAGAAGGTGGACCCTGAGGTTGAGGCTCGCGTGTCTGCTGGTCTGAGCCGCGAGGTTGAGGCTCTGGAGAGGGTTGTGAAGATCTTGAAGACCTTCCAGGCCACCCCCGAGGCTCAGTGGAAGTAAGTTCATTGTGAGGCAGCTGGCTGGATCATTGGGAACCTCTTCAATACAATTTTGATATGTACATATTGAACCTTGCTCTGTGAGCACATCAAGTCTCTTTGATATAGCGAATACGCAGTTTGTTTGTGGCTGCGACAGTTCACTTAAGAATGCGATTCATATATGAATACTTCACTTTGCACGGTCATTAACAGCAACACGAATGTTAGCCATGATCATGAGCAATCCTGTGGTGTTCTTATCATTTCATGGACAATTGGCTGCTACCCTAAAGATGATTGGATCCAAGGCGCTTCAGACATATTGTCCAATTACGCAAGCTTGATCGTCGGGATGAATAAAATAACCTTTGGAATAAACTTGCGTCATCTTGGAGCTGGTTCCCAAGCTATCGTACTAGTAGCTCCAGGCAAGCGCAAGCGCTGAGAAAGTTTCTCAAAGTTTACCGCTGACAAGACTTTGAAACGTGGGACCAATAGTATAGGGCATAAGTATGGCCCCTTAGCCGGATACGAGCAACCATGGAGACCTAAACCTTACAGGGTGGACAACTCCAAAGGGGCTACAGGACCACGTACCACGGTTGTGTGTTGCACTGCCAGTGTCCCAATGCGCACGATCCAGCTCATGTTAAATTTAGCAAGGCTAGAGCCAGCGCCGATTAACAGGGATCGAACATTTAATTTAACCACGATCCACCTGCTTAACGGGTGTCTCAGGATGCTTAATGTTCTCCCCGGATTGAATGGCATTGTGTTCCAAAGACGATGCATGCAATCCCAGATTCAATATATTTAAGCATGTCCAAGGCATTTTAAAGTTTTCACACCTTTCTGACTCCACCTACGTCCACAGACCTATATTTACTCCTCGAGCGGCGCCGAATGGTTGGTGGCATTTGTGGCACGCCAGATGTCAAGCGATCGCTACGAGTTGCATCCACTCTAGCCGACCGCAACGGTGGAGACACCGCAAATGTTAAGTAATTTCCGGGAGCCCACAGAACTGCAGATCGTATCTCGCTTCTGGTAACGGGGCAGTTTCTGTGCCGTCGATCGCCTATTGTAAGGGCAAGTACTCCGTAAACGCGCTGGGCCTGCTGGGCCTCGACACGATGCGATACAACGCATCTCACGATCTCGATGTATATCGTCGATGCGATAGAAAGTCACCGGATTCCAGATCTATTGAACCTTCCCCCTACACCAAGCCAAAAAATTCACATGTTGACAGTTCGTTAGTTTGCCACTAGTCTGCTGTCAAACCTTCCCAACCTTTTCCTTCCGTGGTTCTGGGCACATGCCTTTCGACTTCATTACAGCGCACCGGCCCATGAATTGCCGACAAAGGGGGGTTGCTGAAGACCGCAGATGCCAAGGTGGTCCAGGGGGTGGGGTGGAAATCGATCTAACGCTTCGTCTATCCATACAGCGACAATGGTCTTGCCGGGTCGACCGAACAGAATGAGACTAGTTTGTCATGGTGGTTCTGAATGGTGGGATTGCCAAGATATTTGCTCCACATGGTGAATGGCACGCATCGCTCGTTGGCAGGGACATGCATCAGGCCTTTTCCTTTCTTGACAAAGGTATTCTTCTCGTCATGGTCCCCGAGTTTCTCCCAGCCATGGAACCCACGATTTTGAGGTCTGAGCGGCTATGCGCGGCAGGCTAGAACTTACCACGCGAGCAAGGGTATTTTGTTCCATAGAAACGCTTTGTCGGGGTACCGGCGGACAATCTTCTCCGCATATGGTGTCTGCCGTCCATGGGTGCAAGTGAAACATGTAACGTTTCCTGTCAAGCTAGCATGACGCCCCTGAGGTTTGTGAGGAAATCCAGTTTTGTTAGAGGTTAAGTCCCCACAGGCTCGGCTGGTGGTTCCCAGGCCCGTAGAGTTGCCGTCGCGGGTCACAGTCCAAGATTGCTCACACTAGTGCTTGGTATGCGCATATCAACCATTCTGGAGCCTCAGGGATTTTTTATTTTATTTTTTATTTGGCTTTATCCTGGTCACTTTTATTCAAAACGAGAACCGCCGCCCGTCTCGCCCGCTTGGCGTTCCATTGCCACTGGTTCGTAATGCTAAGCTTGTGATGCAATTTCCTTCTTTTACTTTTCTTTTTTTTCTTTCTGTTCCTCTAGACAGCACTACCCCGAGGGGGTTTGAAGGGTATTGGGGTTCTATCTTAATTCGCCGGCATTATATTCCCTGTTGGGTGAACATGAATTGGAGGTGATCCTTGATTTCTTATCCTGCTATCACCATGCTTCCACTGGAGGGTCGCAGTTTGTCCATCTTTGTTGTGACCACTATTTTCTTGGGTCTTTCATTTATCGCTGTCTGTCTACGATGCTTTGTTCGAATCAAGCTGGTCAAGGCCTTTGGCTGGGATGATGGCCTGATGGTCTTTGCTATGGTAAATTAAGGACAACCCATGTTATGCATGTGACATGTGACTGATGATCAAGTAGCTTTTGAACATCCTCTTCGCATTATGTGGAATTACAGGCGCACTGTATGGCATTGGTCAGAAGACGGATGTGTTGATCGAACGGGGCACCATGGAAACCGCTATGTTTGTATGTGATGCCTTGTCAAATCCTCCAGGCAAATGAGCCCAGGGCTAACAATGTCTCACAGTGGTGGTGGCTCGGCCAAACAGTTTACGTCTGGGTCTGCGGTGTCGCAAAGGCTTCAATCGCCCTGGCCTTACTCCGCCTCACCGTCTCCCGAATGCACCGAGTGGCCCTTTGGGGCGTTATCGCCGTGACCACGATCGTCGGTCTAGTGTTCTGGTTCATGTTGACTTTACAATGCCATCCGGTCTCGTACTTCTGGCAGCGAGTTCGGATGTATAACACCCCACCGGAGATCCTCAGTGGCTCTTGCGTGAACCTCGACGGCATCATCGATATAGCCTATGTCTATAGTGTCACCGCCACCATGTGTGATCTGACTCTGGGACTTTTGCCCGTTTCCCTCGTCTGGAATTTGCAGATGAATGCCCGGACCAAAGCTGCTTTGGCCGGTATTCTTGGCATGGGATGCGTGTATGTTCTCAGCTGTGTATAAATGGACTTCCAGCTAACCAAATATTATAGTGCAAGCGCAGCTGTCATCGTTCGCATTCCTTTCCTGCATGACTACAAGGACACGAATTTCCTTTGTGAGTGTTCCTTGCTTTGACCTACCCAGCGCGAAACAACAATTCTAATGCTATGATAGACGCAACTACCAACATCTCCATCTGGTCCAACATCGAAGCCGGCCTCGGTATCGCCGCCGGCAGCCTGGTTACCCTCCGACCACTCTTTCGCTGGTTTCGTGACCCCAGCTCAGTCGGTACCCGGAGCAAGCGCACTGGTGGCAGTGTCCCCTTAGACAGTGTAAATGTTGCACGCTCTGGTGATCCCTCGGGCCCACGGTACTGGCGACCGGATCTCGATCCCGAGGATGCACATGTAATCACTACGGTTCATACTTCGAACCAGGATAGTCGCACGAGTAGCCAGGAGGACTTGAACCCTAATAAGGGGACTTTCTTTCGTGGGGTGAATGTGCAGAAGACTTTCTTTGTTTCGGAGGACGAGTCATAGATTTATTTTTGGGTGGTTTTTGTGCTTTCAATGTTTTATATTCTTTTAACAGTTAAAATTAGATTTAAAGTAATTATGGATTCTTTATGATCGTACATGTTTGCAATTATGTCTTCAGTATCTACATATGTGTAATGAGTAGCCTGGTGATATGGATGTTAGAAGGCTTCTTGCCCATCTAGAACCAAAGCAATATTCGTTGCTATATATCTAGGCCGGGAGAACCTTAGTACACAGCGCAACCCTACGAGTATAGCACCCATATGAATTTTATACCAATTCAGTTGAAATACGACAGATAATAAATACGAAAAGTACATACTCCCATTGGAACCCCAAGGACCCTTGCAAAACCGATACCAAATCCGGAATCCGAAGTCAAAACCCTCTATCTTCAAGCTTGGATCATATTACCATAGATTGAATTGTCCCCAACAAGCCCGCCGGGCTAGCTCAATCGGTAGAGCGTGAGACTCTTAATCTCAAGGTTGCGGGTTCGACCCCCGCGTTCGGTTATTTTTTTTTTCAAATTTTTTTTTTGAAAAATCATCACATTCTGGGTGGATTTTTTTTCTCGGTTAGGGCTATTTTTGATTGTGCTTCATGGAACCATAAAGTGATCGGCCTTCAACAAGCCCAGCCGGGCTAGCTCAATCGGTAGAGCGTGAGACTCTTAATCTCAAGGTTGCGGGTTCGACCCCCGCGTTCGGTTCTACATTTCTTTTTCATTTTTGAAATGTTTTGATTGGAAGATTATTATCCTCCTATCACATCCCACCGTAGTTTTTTTGTTGCCTCCCAATCTCTCTCTTCTCTTCTGATGGCAGACAGGCTCCGAGGTTGGTGATGAATTTTATTCAGTTACAGTTACCGAACAATGGTTGTCCTGAGACTATCTATCCTCTCTGTATAGCCTAGGTTTTACTTCAAGACCCAATTGAATTAGACAGCCTATTATTTCTGCCTATACAATGCTAAAGGCTGAATGAACTCTAGGAATAATATATTCTTATTCAAAGATAGTGGCTGTTTCATTATAAATCCTTCAATGAACGCTCAACGCCCAATGCTATGCACAATCAAGGTAAGGTGCTTGAGAACGCCTGTCACAATATCAAGAATTGAAGGAAGCAATAGCAAACAGTAGGAAAAAAAAGTGGTAATTGTGAAGACACCACGAGTCTACTTATTATGCAAGGGAACGTAGGTCTTGATCACCCGCTGACCTCCAGATTGTTGCCCCCAGTGTAGACGCCTTCAAAATCAAGACTAGCGAGCATGCCATTGACTCGGTCAATCTCGCGACTCAGGTCTTCCACGTTCACGGCAAGACTGCTTACTTCGTCGAATTTCCGTCGACGGTTGGCGTCTGCGATCATTTCGGATACGAAGAATTTCTGCTCCTCCAGCACGATAAGGCGTTCCCGTAGCGACTTCTCTTCTGCTTCTAGGGCGGAGACGGCGCTGCTTGTGTCGCTGGCTAGACTCGTGTTGCTGCCGTTGGGCGCGAGACGTTTGTTGTATGCAATTGAAGCGAGCGCAGATTCTTGGGGTTTGATGGGGGCTGGTGAGCCGTTGACTAAAGTGCTTGGGGAGGAAGTGCGACTGGGTATAGAGTCTCTTGATGGAGATGCGTGTTTGAGAACCTTTGGAAGGGATTTCAAAGGGAGCATGTGAAGATGAAGGAAAGAGCTGGCTTGCTGATATATCGCTTTCTGTAAGCGTTGTTGTGTGGGAGAGTTGGTGGGCAGGTCGCGAATACGTCGAGCTGCAACATCGTACTTTGAGAAGGAGTCGATGAGTCGCTTGCGGACTTTGGAAGCATCTGCAATTTGTGCTGAAGCTGGTGGTCTTCTCGGGTCTCTTTTATGGTGTCAGTAGATGTATAGCTAGATCGAAATACATAACATACTGCAATGCGGCAAGGAGCCTCTGGAACCTGGGAAGATGGAGACGGATGCCTCTTTCAAATTGGACCAGATTCTCATAAGCCCTAACCTCTGGGGGCTTCCGTGAAAGGTCTTCTTGGAAGTCACGCTTGTCAAATAATGTCGTCTTGCAATCTTTGCAAAGCCTGATATCCACATTGATCAAACGGTCTGCACCGGCTTTCTCTGATGTTTTTGACACTTAAAAATATTAGAACAATGGCCATTTTGGAAAAAATCCGAATACTTACGAGGTGCGATGCTTAGTCCCACTTCACTGGAACAGCCTGTACTGGTATCACCACATACGACCTGCCCGCAAGTTCTGCAATGATGTCTCCGGAAAGAGTACCCTGAGAAGTCCTGCTGGCAAAAAGGACACCTGGTGACGCTGGCATCATCTTGCCAGCTGACAATAGTCTGCTCGACAGCTTTTCGCTGGTCACTCTGCCAGGGAATGGAGAATAATTTATTCGTACTAGACTGTATCTGATCCGGTGGGAGACCGGCAAGGAGTTGTGTAAGCCGAGTTAACCGTTTCTCAAGTCGAGAAACCTCCAGGAAATTCTTGTCCACCGTCTGTTTTCTGATGTTTTTGAATGCCTGCGTATGGTCTCTTATTGCTCCTGCGCTTTATAAGCTTCGTTTATCCACAAGAATGTTGGGAAGTGCATACCATTATGGTCATTATAACCCTCCCTTGACTTATAACAGGTTTCACACACCCGAGCCCATATACCCCTCACAGGTTCAGGCTGGGCTGACCGAGATAGCTTCATTTGATACATGGTATGCTCTTCGCAAAATAGCTTGCCGCATTTTCGACAGTTGACGCAGCCGTTGGTGCCGTTCAGACGTTTGCCGCATGACGGCTCTAGACAGATGTCATAGAGATTACCAGCCTGCCAGTGCTCCTTTGTAATGAGGTCTTCTGGGTCGAGAAGCTTAGGGACATTATCAGACGGTCCGGCATGGGTGGTTCCGAGGGGGCGGCTGGCGACTGGGGCTGTTTGATTTTCATTCGACTCGAAGACATCCAAGCCCTTGAGTTTTTGATTCAAAACAGCTAGAGGTTGGAACCTCCTCGCCTTCTCCATCTGCACTTTGAACCAATCCTTCACTTCATCTTGTCGGTCATCTTCTAGGTTCTGATGGAGATCGTCGAGGTGTCTGCCGACAAGTGTTAATACCGCCGCCATGCCACTTAGGGGTAAAAATCGGAGAGAATTGAAAAGCACCTGTTGAGCTGGAGGAGGGTAACCTATGGAAATAACATATTAGTACCTGCCCTCACCAGAGTCCATAGATAAGCTAGACGTACCATCTCCTCACTGCAGATCGGGCAAGAGAGCTGAGCTCCGGGAGCCGCCGGTGCCGCAGATATAGAAGTGTCGCCATTCTCGACGGATATGCGTGAAGTAAGATCTTGTGTTTCTGTTGAGAATTGCGAGATAGATGTCTGGGAACTGAGGGACACGCTGCTGGCGGTTGGCGAAAGCACCCTTGGCTTCGGCTGCGGGGACGAGGACGGGGCTGATGAAAGCGCGGTCGGGGTGCCTAGAACACGACCTCCACCCAACGTCCTCCGGGACATGATTACGGGGACATGGGAAGCTGGGTTGGAAATTGTTTTCTGCCCAACATCGAGTTGGCTGCACAGGGTTAAGCGCCCGGGGGAGTTGAATCGTTGAAGGGCTGGTGACGATGCAGTGGAGCCTTGTTTAGTGTCAGGCCTTAGGCATCAACCTATTAGGGGCCGGACCTCGGGATGTTCCTCACAAGAATGTATACACAGTATCAAAGAAATTATTCATTTAAAGTAAGGAAACGTAACGATGATATAGGAATATTGTCCGTGAATTGGAAATCTAATTGGTCCAGCAAAAAAAGTGCCTTTATGTGACCACATCAGGAACCTACGGAGTAGTTTGTACTGGATTACACTACACCTGATACCAAAGTTACTACTTTATATTCTTGAGATAAATTGAATAAGATGACTGAGAATGTAGCATCTATGTCCGTTAGCTTACAATAGTGTATTGATCTATGAATGCTTTCATTTAGATGTAAGATGAATCGCTGATACTAGTACTATGCATGGATGCGTAACGGTCGTGATATTTATCGCTTAATGACAGGCAGAAGAAAGTCAATTTTTTGATAATTTGAGGCATCTTTTCAACTTTTTTTCCCCCCTCTTGCGAGATTTCTTTTTTTTATAGTCGTAAACATGTCCTTATGAACATGTCCCTATGAACAAGCTTGGATCAACATCCAACGCATATCCTCCCCCCTTATTACCCCTATATTGTTTTATCGCTCATAGTCCCGGTGGGAGGCGGTACCGGTATTAGGGTTCATGTATTCCCGATGGACGTGGGTGCTTCCGTCATCTCGGCGGTCAACATCCCGGTGTCGATATGTGCCGCTGGGATCGAGGCGCTCGCGGTGGTGTCGTTGCGCGTCACCGGCGCGAAAGTCGAGATGTTGATCGTATGCCCCGGTGCTGGGGTCGTATGCTGTTGTGCCGTATCCGGTGTCATATGCGTCGGCATCATATGTGAGCCCGGTGGCATCGGTGCCGTTGTCAGACGTTCCGTAGCCCGACGGAGCATAGGCTTCGTCACGGTTGTCATAGCCGACTGTGAGATCATATGTCGTGCCGGTCGATTCATAATTTGTGCCAAGGGTGTCGTATGTAGTAGTAGTTGCTTCGTAGTCACTTGGGTAGCCAGTATCCGCTGTGTAACTGCGGTTGCTCATTTTCGATGTTGTCAACTGGTTCTCAAGATGTAGAATTTAAGACTGAATATGTTTTTGATTTGATATGATAATGGCATACAAGAGTCGAAGAGACTTGGCTTTTATACCTGTGCTTGTGGCGTCAGAGTGATAATCATGATCCTTTGTGACATCACATATCTGGAGTAAATGAGGCGAGTTAGTTCGAGATTGAAGCAAAATGTGCATCCATCGCTGGAACATAGTCTGATTGATTAAAACTAGAGAATGTGGCATAAGCATATCGCCTCAGGAGGCGGATGATGTTATTTAGACCCAAGATAATGAACTGCACGCCACCATTGATCCACCAGGTCATCCCCATCACCTCTAAGATGCACTAGGGAAAGTCGAATAATTTCTATTGGGATTGAGCCTGGCGCCATAGTCATAGCTAAGAGGGTATCTGTTACACCACCCAATTGCTGAAAGCTTCTTTGCAACTTTCAAACATTAAGTCGTTGGGGAAAACCCCTCATAGTCGTGGCACAGGTAGAGAGAATTTAACGTCAATTTGCCTTCTTTAAGTGCGTAACGTAACTCCTTCACCTTCCCTTCGGCCCCTAATCTGTTACCGCAAAAGCCGAAGGCTGAGCCAGCAGAATATTGATATTGGAACCTGGAAATATAGCAAATACGTCTAAATGCCGAGTGAATAGTATCCCCTACGCCTACCAAAATCCAGTCTCGCATACCCTATCAGTCAACGACTGAGAGCCCGCTTCATGCACGAAGCAGTCACGCTCTGAATGGAAATAGAGGCAATGGGGCTTTAAGCAATAGAAAGAGAACTGATGTGTTGTTTAGTGGAAATCATGGGATTTGTATGCTACAACAACAGATAAGTTCCTGGGTCTCCATGACGATCTGTCAATCTTGTACCAAAGTTAGATACAACTGCCACAAAGCGAAACCCTCTACAAAAGTAAGTGATATGTAGGACTACCTATACATGAATCCGCCGTACACCTCGAGGACATAGACTACACATAGTTTGCACAAAGGGCCTTGAATTAAAGTATGTTTTACAACTATAGAATCTACCCTGTTGACCATTCCATCCCATCAAGCAATTATTTAACTCTCCTGGCCCAATGGCGCCAGCGAGTCCGACAAGAATTCATTTGCATTCATCAAGTCCGTGCTTCCATAGACAACCCTACGACGGGCAACAGGTGCACGAGTACCGGCAGGTGCACCGTCGGCACCCGGCTGACCACTTGTCCGCTTCACCCAGTCCTGCAAATTACCATATTCATCCATGCTGCCACCGCCAACAGTGAACACAATAGCTTCGTTGAAAGCCTGGCGGCGTTGTCCAAAGGTGGCACCGGTGCCGGGGCCGGAGGCACCCATTGTACCGGGCATCTGCTGGTTTCGTGAGGCGGAGGCCGGGGGCATGGCACCACGAGCGTTGGCGCTGCGTGGGTCAAAGTAGAGGTAGTTTTCTGTCTTTGTGATAGCGGAGCTGGATGCCGAGGCTGGATCCATGATAGACTCTGTGATCTTAGTCACGGTGAGATCTTTGTTGGCGGGAAGGAAGTTCTTCACGCCGGAAATGAGGGAATCGAAGTTGGCACCCAGTGCACCGGAAGTGATGCGGTCTGTGAGGCGGTTGGAGAGTGATGAGAAGCCGCGGAAGATGTCGGAGGATTGTTGCTCTGGAGCGGCGGTTGTCATCATGGTCATACGGGTGATTTCGCGTACTTGCCGGACGTAGGCGATAGGAGTGATATCGGTGACACCGGCCTGAGTGAGAGCTTCTTCGAATTGTGTCATCTCTGTGCGGTTAAGCTCGGTCTCGGTACTGAGGAACCAGATAATGAAAATGCGCAGCTTGTCTGTGGGGTTGCTACCCTTGGCTGGGTCGTTGATCACCTCCAAAAGCTGTGCCTTGGTCTGTTTTGTGATGTTCTCCTCCAGCTCAAAGAAGTTATCCAACTGTCGGTCCTTGATGCCCTTCAACAAGGCAGTGGCAATGTTCATGTGCATATCAAGAACAGCCTTACGCTCTCGCAGCTCTGGGAGTAGCGTAATGGCCGCCTTAAGGTGCTGCGCAGAGGCACCGGTATCATTCTGGAGATCCTCAATAGAAGAAGCACCGGTCTTTTTCGTGATATCGTTTGCATCCTCCTTGTACCGTGTCAACTCAGCATCAATGTCTTCGGCGACCTGAGGGAATGGTGCGCCGGCATTCCGCTGCCAGAAGAAATCATTACTATTCAGATCATACGACTTCTTCCCGCTCTTGCCCGAGTCCTGCTCGTCGGCATCCAAGGTAATCCGGTTCAACCGCATCTGTAGCACATCTTGCACCAGAGACTGGTATGTCCAGGAGTGTGAGAGCATGGGCACCAAATCAACGTTTCGGTCCATAATAATCAACACGGGGCGCGTCGAGGGTACTCCCGGTAGAGCCCTTTGATTGCCGGAGAAGAGATTATCCTTGGAGTTGAGGATGTGATCACGCAATTTCCGATCAAGCTTCGTTGCGATGAGCTCAGCGGCACCACCCTTGGGGCATCGAATGATAGGAATGGAACCTAGAAAGTTTTAGTTGATGATCGTGGTATTAAAGATGAATAACCTACCCATGGTCACGCTGACGCTAAAGAGGCCGCTGACCACCTTATCCACAATGGCATCCAGATCTTCATCTGTCGTCTTCGGGCTGTTGATCTTGTAGTATGCGTCGTTGCCCATACCCAAGGAAAAAAGATCAGGCTCGGCGACAATGAAGTTGAGATACTGATCGAAGACTTGAGCGACATGCTCTGAGGCACCAGATGTGGCTATTTGCGAAGCAAAGTCCTCGAGGAGGGGTCGGGGAACAGAGGATAGGAAGTTGACATAGGCGGGGGAATAAAGGCCCTGGGAAAGATCGCGGGCAATCGCTTGAATATTCGTCTCATTTGGCTCGACCAGGTACACGACTGGGACGTCGGGAATGGGATATCTTTGAGAATTGATGCTCCTAAAACCATGTTAATTATCAACTCCGGCTACTGAGAGGGCGGGGTCGCAATAGCATACAGGTGAATAGTAATACCCCACGCTCGGAGATCATTGACTCGGAGAACACTGCTGATAACGTCACGGCCCATGGCATCGAATACCAGGACCTTCCAGATCGGATCGCCATCCTCATTCAAGATCGGGGTGGAGTGGGAGATGAGGCCGCCATGGCTAGAGGGATCATGGGAGTCCTCCACAGGGCGGGGATCATGGTTCAGGTTCAGGAGTTTTTGAATCGAAGCTTGAACAGTCAGTCAGCCATAGTCCGTAGATTTGGGGGCAGTATCGAGCAATCACCTACCGACCTGTCGGTCTCGGAGGGACATTGGATGCGCCATGGCAGACCAAGCACCACGGGCTTCGGGAAAACACTCAACGATCGGTATTTAGCTCCACAGCATACAAGAGGAGAATACGAATTCCAACAGGAGGTCAATCATCAAAGTTGGAAGAGCTGGGCTTTTTGATTGTTGATATCCCGCTTTCCCCGTTAAGCATGAAGCGTGGCCCCAAGGGATGAGGTAATCAGACAAACCGAGCAAACTCCGGGGGACGTGTCACATGTATGACATGTCACCAACGGAGCTTACATGTATTTACGGTCTTAATACAGTGAAACAGTGATCTAGCCATCATTTGGCCAATGAGAAACAGTAACATCGTACCAACTCCGTTCGAAATATTACCTACCTTGCGCAGCAATTTGCTGCCCCTTCCACCTCAAATCTCTCCTCCACATCACCCCATCATCTCCCCCCAAACCCCCTTTTCTTCGTAAAGCGAATGGCTATGATGCTAGAGTGGCTCTTGAGTTAGGAGCCTATCTATTCTCTGCCTCAGAGTATTTTTCTCCTGAAGGAAACAAGCTTAAAACCCCAGAGAAAGGAGAGCGCAGCCTGGAACCAGGGTCCAGAATACAATCAGTGCAGGAGAGAAACAGAAGGAAAAAAAGCAAGCAGACAACCCTAAAGGATACTGGAAAATCCAGGTGTCTCAGAAATATTTTTTACTTCTTTTTTCTTCTTGTCTACGGGTTGTATACAGCCATTCAGGGTCATTAAAAGGTGCAGAAAATACCAGGGAATCGACGCCAAACCCACAGGATTTCATCAGCGACAGTGGATGCCTGAGGCAAACACGATCTTAAAACCCATCACTAAGACACGCATATTCTGTTTTGCAATTTAAACAAAAGGGAAAGAAAGGTACGACAGTATCCGTGGCTACGTCTCAGTCCTGCTCTAGCTGTACCATTTGTGATATAACCTTGAAAAAGGTTGGGACGATCACATCCTGATAATTCGTCATTTCCTCAGTCTTCACTGTGTTACCAGTTGCCGCCGACGCGCATTCTCAGCCAATTATATCGCGCTCTGATCGATCAGACGCGTGACCCCCGCACCTGACTCTCGGTCAAACGTTTTCCCTCATCCCCCAATAAAGCAGGCGGTGGTAAAAGCATTTCAGAGTGGACCCACGTGATATACAGGGCAAACATACATCTGCAAGCTTTCATTTAAGTAAAGTGAAGTGAGAGATTTTCCTTTGAGTTCTGGTGGGTGCACATCATGGAGCAGTCCTCGGCTCAGAACCGAATGCCGGGTCTGCCCCATACCAGAACACCTCAGGGACCCTCGCCACAATTCTGGAACAGTATGGAGTCCATGTATCCTGATTCACAGATTCAATCTTCCCAATCCCAGCAGCCTCAGGATGCATCCTCTCAGCAACCATTGGGAATTGGCTGGGATCATCCAGTGCTTCAACAACAGCAGATGCTCCAACATCAACAGACCCAGATGACGTCGCCGAATGACCCCAATCTTGAGATTTACTCCATTCCCCAATCATGGCAGCCAAACCCATTGCATCAACCTGGTCGTGGCTATGTCCCATCTCCTCAATTCCAGACCGCACAACCACTGCAGCAGTTTCCACCAAATCAAATGCAGTATGATTCGCATTCCCTGCAACCGTCCGAGAGCTCGGCCTTTCCTTCCTACTCCTTCCCACCGAACTTCTATCCGCAACAACTCTCCGTGCAAGACTCGTACCAGGCACGCCCTTCACAGCAAAATCCGCAGTCTGCGGAGTTCCAGGTGCCTACCCCGCAGCCTACCTTGTCTCAGTTCGCCGCGCCACCTGGGTATCCCCCGGCTGATTTGCACAATACCATCGACCTCACCCAAGACTTCCCCTCCGAACCTGGACATCACCAAACCATCGACCCACAATTTTTGAACCCGACAACGCAATCTGCACAACGTCAAGTCGTGAACAACAATTTCTTGTATGGAAATCCTGCCGAGTTTGACCGGGCTGGTGGGCAGATGTTCGACTATTTTGAGAATGACATCTCCGCTCAACCTCAATTCCGTGTTGGCCCCGGTCATGCTAACCCTCAAAACGGTATGTTTGCTTCAAGTCACATGGGTCTCCCTGTTCCCGAGAGCATAAGTGCGGCAAAGAAGCCTACCAAGAAACAGCCAGCAAAGAAAACTGCGAAGAAGGAGAACAAGGCAAAGGGGGCTAGTAGTGAGAGCTCTGAGGACTCTGAGCTGGAAATTGAGGCCCCACCTGAGCCATCGCCCATCCCCGCAGTTCGGCCGATTGAGCCCATTGCAGCAGCTGTGTACGATACTCTGCAGGCCGTGTGGTCGCCTCGAAACAAGAAAGTTTCTGCCGATAAAGTAAAGAACGGGCTGATGGCCTTCAAAGAAATTATTAAGACTCTTCGGGATTCTTGGAAAGACCAGGTTCAGGCGATGAAGAACGCAGAGAACCAAGGCGATAATGAAAAAGCCACCGAGTTGAAGAAAAGTGTGATTTTGCAGCGCCAGACAATGGATAAGATCATGACCACCGCAATGGAGATGGGTCATCCTGTGATCGTCGAGAAGTATGCTCCCCTCCCCAGTCCTGCCCCCACCGTTCCCTTGTACCATGCGTCTGTACATGGCTGTCGTGGCGATATAAATCTGAACCAAATTGAGAGCTTTGCCCATGTAAACCTGTTTCCCGTGGAATGGATCAAGCTACAATTAATATGGCTACAAATAAGCGTTGCCTCCTATGTTACAGACTGCATTTCATCATGCTTTTTTGGCCACATAACATATGGACAAACATCAAAGCCTGGATTGCCAGGTAGATACGCTGACTAAAGCTATCTACAAAGCCTTGGACAAAATGCCTCATTTGCTAGGCTTTAAGCATGTCATGCCGCCGTTTCCAAGCATCGTCTCATCTCATTTGGTCTTTATAAGATTGCTAATCAGGCTTTATATAGATGCGGAGAACATCCGGTGGCACTTGCAGCCATCTACTCCTTTCTGGCAGACCGATTCCAGGCCGCTGATTTTGAAGGATCACTGACCATTAACATGATCAAGGTAAGTTATTACGTGACGCAAAATTCTTCAAATGAGATTTCTGACAAAAGCTCCAGCTTCTGGCGCAATTCATTACTGTAGATGAAGAAATTTTGCAGAAAACCAACCTTACTAAGCTGCTACCTCGCTTCATTAAGAAAGGTGGACCATCTATCAAGGAGCCAGCGCAGAAAATCTTAGATAATGCTGCGGCCGCTACTAAGTGGAAGCAAAAGAATGCCGAGATAGCGGATGATTCCTCAGCGAAAGGCTCGTCTGCAGATTCTCCCTCGGCGGAAATTGCTGGCTCGAAACGCCCACGAGACGGTGAGAGTAATACCCAGCCTGCCACGAAGCGGATGGTTGTTACGTCGAACCCAAAGGATCTGAGTAAACCTGCCGTGCCAGCTAATGGTGTGGGCAAGCGACCTGTCGAAGGCGCTCAGAATGGCAAGGCCGCCACCACAGCAGCGCCTCGCCCTAGAGCCAATGTTGTGGCACCCAAGCCTTCAAGTCTTTTTGGCGCATTGAGCTCTGCTTCCAAGCGACCAGGAACAACAAATGCCGAAAGAGCCGCAGCAATCGCTGCAGGGAAGCCTGCGTACGTGTCAACTTCACATTTTGCCCAATCTTTGAAATACAGCCAAACTAACATTGTAAATAGACCTGCTGCGGAGAAGAAGGAAAAGCCCGCAGCACCCCCTCCTAAACCCGCTTTCTCCTTTGGTGACATCATGGCCGATCTCAGCAAACCCAAAGAGCCCGTTGTCGTCAAGCCCACTGAGGAAAGAGCCCCGGAGACGGAAGAAGAACGGACAAAGCGGCTACGTAAAGAAGAGCGACGCAAGCTGCGTGTCACCTGGAAACCAGACGATTCACTCACAGAGGTCCGGTTGTTCACCCATGATCCTGACGAAGAGCTGGGCCCTGGTGATGGTTCCTTGCGCGGCGCGGGAGATGTGAAGGGCGAAGGGAGTGTTCTCAAGCTTCACAAAGATTTGGAGGAGCTAGAGGAAGACGACCTTGGTGGTATGCGGGAGATCAGTTACGGCGAATACCCTGCTCTCACTGGTGAGTTGCACTTTCCCACAAACGAAAACCCAAATCGACTAACCCCAAAACAGAAGTGGTCATTGAATCGGATGAAATGAAGAACGGCAACTTCATTAAACGTGGCGGAAACCAAATCCCCAGCAGCCCCGAGAAAGAGGCTCAGGATCACCGCGAGTCAACTACCCTCATGGTGTTCCACACTTCTCCAGCCGACGTCCCCTCGACTCCGAAGGAGCCCCCGCTCCTGAGGCCGACGAGGCTGTCCCTGATGTTATTCCTTTCGGAGAATTGCCCGATACCATCAAGGTATGTCATCTCTCATCACAAATCTGGAACAGTAATTAATCGCATTTGATACAGGCCCGGCAAGAACGGTACTTCGAATACATGAATCCCAAACCCGCGCCGCCTCCCCCGGCTCAGCTCCAACCCCAGCCAAACCAAGCAGCCGGTGGATTTGACATTTCCAATATCTTGAAAATGATCCATGCAGGAACGCAACAGCAATCAACACCCCCACCGCAGACCGCGCAACAACCTGCGGCCCCGATGTCCGATCTGGAGCGCACCATCAACATGTTTCGCCAGCAACAGCCCATCGTCCCTCAAGTTCCTCAAGTCCCTCAAGCCTCGTTACCTCAGCTACCGGTTGGGGGCATTGATTTCCAAAATATTCTTAATGTCATGAAACAGTTGCAGCCAGGCGCATACACCCAACCACAGCAGACCCAGCCTGCAATTGCTCCCAACTTCGGAGCCATGTTCGGGCAATTCCCCGGTCAGAACCAACAGTCCGGTCCCCCACAGCACATGCAGTCAGGAATAAATTACGAAGATCCTGAACGTCTGAAACGCATGCGTGAGGACCCATCGGCCGATGGCCAGTACGACCCTTCATGGAGTCGTCAGAAGCGGACCAAAGCCAACGAGACCAAGCCGGTAAGCTTATACCCCAACCCCATCTTTTCCTCAACGCAAATTGCTTACATCTAGAATAGTACAAATATGGACTGGTTGCATGCAAGTTCTGGGCTGAAGGGAAATGCAGAAAAGGCGACAACTGCACTTTCCGCCATGATTAAATAACCCGCCTCACAACGGCTTTGAAAATGTCGGTTCAGAATCGGATCTGCTGCTGGCATCTACCTGTGTTAGGATACACGGGTTTAATTTTTCTTCTTTGTCTCTTTCCCCCCAACCCCCTCGATCTTCGATCCCCGAAGCAATTCATGCATGGGCCTTTACGAAGGCTCGAAGGCGTTCTTGCGGCTATCTTTATCATTTCCTTTCTTTGTCTGTGTACTATTTGGCTTTCAGCTTCATCTTCCATATGTCTACGCATTCAGAAGGGGTTTTACAGTACCAGGTTTCATCTTATGGCGCATGCTTCGGGGGAAAGAAAACATATGTACATTAACAATAACTATCGATAGCCTCTTCATCTAATGAAGATTAAGTGTCTGATCAAATTTCTCGCCATAATCCTTTCTTTTTCTGTATCCAGATGATGCTGTCTTCGTGATCTTACGCTACAAGCGGTTTCTGTCTTTGAGTTGGCTACGAGACTCTTCGTACTGTTCATCATGCAGCTATCGGATGGTCGGGACGTATCTATGACCATGTTGCTTTCATATGGGATTTCGGAGTAGCAGCATTTTCAATGAGGATGAGAAGCCAAAAAATTAAGATGGAAGACAGGTGCGTAAGTGTATGAGATACAGATTACTATTTGATGGGCTTCGAACAGGTGTCGTAATGCTATAATCCATAAGCCTGTAGCCTTCAGTTTGAGAACTACCACACTAGCACACATTCCATGCGCAGAACGATGAACCCTGCAATACCAAGCCAGCCCAAATAAGAAGAAGTTACTGTAGGCAATAGTGGGTCCCCGGATCCACACAAAGCTTAGCACCGGTTTGAAATTGAGATTTGGACTTGCGTGAGACTTATTTTGTTGTACTTGATTAATATGTGGATAGTGGTCGCCAATATTACTCTCTCCCTGTCAAATAATGAGTCATATCTGCATTGGCACGAGCACTTTTGTTCAGTACTTTCAATTATTCTTTGAACAGTCTTTTAGGATCTATCATATTCCGGCTAGACAAGGCTTGTAAAAAGATATTCGAATAGCTATTTATTTGAGAACCAAATAACCGTACCATATTTATCATGCTCTATATCCAATCGCTATGCATATAAAAAGAAAAAAAAGTCTAATCAAAGATGGACGCCTTCACGGAGTTAGGCTGGATGTACTCTGAGGCATTGCGGAAGCTGTTGAATCCCCAGCGAATCTGACCAGCCATAGCAATCTCCACATCCAAATCTTTGGCAAAGGCCCACGCCAAACCGCTGTCGCGCTGGAAGGCACGGCCAACCAAGATCAAATCAATGTTCTCCTCGTTCATAATCTTCTCAGCAAGATTACCGTTGTTAATGCTACCCACGGCCGAAACAAGCATCTTGTCTCCAACAGCCTTCTTGACTGCGGCAGCATGCGGGACCTGGAAAGCACCGGTACCATTGATCTTCTGCGCGGAGTGCACACCACCAGTACTAATATCGATGAGGTCGATGGCGCCCTGTGCAGCGAGGGCCTTGGCGAACTCGATAGTGTCCTCCAGCTTCCAGCCCTTCTCCTCGGGCATGCTCTTCTCCAGCCAGTCGGTAGCCGAAACACGCAGGAAGACGGGCATGTTATCGCCGACGGTGTCACGGGTCAGCTGGGCAATCTCCAGGGGAAGACGAATGCGGTTCTCGAAGCTGCCGCCGTATTGATCGGTACGCTTGTTCGAGGAAGCACTCAGGAAGGAAGACAGCAGGTAGCCATGGGCGTTGTGGATCTCAATGAAATCGACACCAGCGGCGACAGCACGCTTCGCTGCGGCAACCCACATATCCTTGACCTCCTGGATATCCTGGAGAGTCATAGCCTGGGGAATGATATCTCCCTCAGCGAAGGGAATGGCACTAGGGCCCTTCACATTCTCGACCCAGCCACCGACGGCATTGGTGGCAGTGGCACCGCCCAACCAGGGGGCAACGGTCGAGGCCTTACGACCGGCGTGAGCGAGCTGGATACCGATCTTCTGGTTCTGGCTGTGGGCAAATTCAACGACCTCCTTCAACGGCTTGATCTGCGAGTCCTGCCACAGACCCACACAGCCGGGAGTGATACGGCCCTCGGGAACGACGCCCGTAGCTTCGATAATAATCATGCCGGGACCACGCATGGCAATGCCACCGTAGTGAGCCATGTGCCAGGGGGTCATGTGGCCGTTATCGGCACTGTATTGGCACATCGGGGCGACCTAGATGTCTCGTGAGTACTCGGTCTCGGGTGGACTTGGAACATGTTTCGAATGAGGATTTTACTTACACCCAAACGGTTTTGGAAGGTCATGCCTCGAATAGTCAGGGGCTGGAACAGTTTCGGGATGGCCTTGCCACTTGTCTGAGGGTTGCGAGCAGTACCGGCTGCGGGCTCCTGGGCAGGAGTGAAATAGGAAATGCCCTCAGCGGGCTTGACGGGGATATCGGGCCAAGTCATTTTGAAGAGTATGTATTAAATAAACGAGTGATACCTTGGAATGAGAGGCAGGGAATCGACCACCTGACAATTGATTGATAAAGAAAAATCTCAACTAATAAACGTTTCATCCAGGGTCTAGTAATGCTGCCGAAGTCTTTATATAGTTCAGGGTTTATACGTATACGTATACTCCACTGGAGTCTGATTTCTAATCCCCGAAAAAACTTTTCCATGGAGGCGAATAGAATGGTCCCGCTGTCCCGGGGCCCGCAAGAAAATCACCCTATAATTGAGTTTAGTCACCGCAGATTTCCAAGAAGATTTTGGGCAAGGGAGTCCCGAGAGAGTAGATCGACTTGTGTTGAATTTGTATTCCGACTCGTCATCATGCATAGTCAGCATTTTAACGTTGGTGCAGATGGAATCCTAGTTCATTTTCTTCAGCTTCATGGCAAAAGTCCCCGAGGGAACGCCGATCGGTTCAATTCCTCCCCGATATGGACCCACTTATGGAATGATCTTCGACGGAATATATACTCCGTCGGTGTCGCTGAGGGATTTCAAACATGGACCCCTATACTCTTCAGACTAATGAATTGCAAACTATTATTAGATTTGTCATTGTAGAGTATGAACATGTACACATACATCAATTTAAGGTTTTCGGGCCAGCCACATGGACACCTCAAGGAAATGGCAAAAACACGCTAACGTGGTCGGTAAGCGAGTGGGCCATGTAAGCGAGTGGGCCACCCAACCACTTTTCCTACACATATATGCATATATATCAACCACATAACGTCTTATATTCATATAACTCTACTTGGACATGCTGTTTTTCTATGGCCAATTTCACCACAATTACCACATTTAGGTAAAGCCCGGGGTTTTGGTGTTTCCGAGGCCTGTGCTGGAGGCACCCGCGGACCTGGCCTTGCTTGAAAGAACGAATTATGAGCCTCCTGGAGCTGTAGAGCCTCTTGTACGGATAGACCACCTTCTTGTGCTATCCACCTAGTCGTACGTTCACGTCTTTTCTTTTGTATATTGTGTTCGTCGCGTAGTAGCTTGTTTTCTGCCTCGAGAAGGATGCCGTTCTGCATAGCAATTTGACAGCCTTTGATAAGCTGGTTTAACGCGGTTTGAGATGGTGATGGAGGGCTTCTTAAGCGTTGCTTAAGGAAAGCTTTGATTGAGGATGCTTGCTTATAAAGCTCGTCGACGTTCGCGGGTGTATGTGGATGAAATATGCTTGTTTAACTACCGCGGCTTGCTGGAGGTGTCGGCGTACGAAGTCGAATATTGAGCTTTGATAGTACTGGCTTAGGATTAAATGGCACTAATCCTACTACTTAAAAGCTATTCTAAATTGTGCTGAATTTAAAGGCTTCAGCACGAGCTTTTAGATAGGCTAGAAGGAAGTTAAGCTTATCGATATGGCTAATTCCAAGCCGCATTTTTTGGCCAATAAAGCTACCGTACGCGCGCTTTAAAACTACAAAACACCTAATATCGAGCGGTTATAAAAGATATAAAGAGTGCGCAGGCATATAGAGTGGAATAATATCTAAATCCGCGCAAATTTAATCGAATCTTAACGTGAGATGGCTTCTATATCCATTAAGAATAAGAAGTCGATATCGCCCACGCGTACGGTAAGTTATTAATAGAATAAATTGTTTTTGAAGCCAGCGAAGGCCTATCTCATCAGTCGTCTATCTATTATCACTAACTTCGAAGCGCTAATCGTGTAGAAGTTCCTCGAACCATGCCTGATTGTATTGCTTTCCTTTAAAGATTATCGTTGGTAGAAGCGCCCATCCTAACTGTCACGGTGTGAACTGTTAGGGTCCGTGAGGACCCGCCAGGACTGATAAGGAAGATCACGGGCACGTGATCTATGATCCATTTATCTACACATCCATCCTGGATCCTGTTGTAGCTCTTCGAGCTACGTCTTGTATAATAGCTTACGCTAGTCTGCCCCCGTCTGCCACCTGATCAATTAGAACCCTTCTGGTTACGTTCTGATCCCGTCGATCTCCTCCTATTACAACCCTGTCCGCCCGCACCCTGACACTAACGCGCTAATTAACTCGATTGCGGTCACCCACTCACGATTTCCTAGCTGTAAAACTGATCTCCGACCGTAGTATTCTGCCCGGGTAATCACTTTTTGTGTTAAATAAAGCCCCATCGCGAATCCTGTCTCGTCAAAGTTATAGATATCGTCCGTGAGGATGCCATATTGTTAGATGGTAGATTAGACGAGGTTAAACCACTCCTAGATGATCTTTAGGTCTTCTTATAGTGCTCGTTGGTAGTCGTATCGTCTTGAGAAGCGTGATTTAAGCTCTTAATGACGTTTAGTGAAGTTATATGCCCATTTTTCGCCGACGGTTTGAATCTAGGTGGAACCACGCTTTTCGAGGAGAATATTAGCTATATCTCGTACGTGAGCTTGTGTAGGGGCTGCTCCACGAAGATCCAGAGATAATATGCGTTGTATAAGGATATTCTCTTCAATTTCAGTCAATTTATGACCATTAGCGCGAGATTCAGTCCGATTTATGGTGCCGCGGAGTCGACGCGTGAGCGTATTCCGAGGAACTCCATATTGGTCCGCAGCTTGCCGTATAGACGCAATTTCCTTGTTTTTTATAGCTTTTATAGCAAGCAATATACGGCCTTCTTGTTGGATAGAATCCTGGCTTGATATACTGCGTTTTGGAGGCATGGTGGGTGGTTGAAGATAGACGTGTCTCTGGAGACGCGAAAAAGTGGTTAGGTGGCCCACTCGCTTACATGGCCCACTCGCTTACCGACCACGTTAAATTGGAAAAGTAGACACCTGAATCAGGCCACATTCCTCGGGTTCCATAAGACCCAATTAGGTGAAACAGCCCGAGTCGAGAACCCTGCATTTGTGCAACCTTGCGATAGTCTGAGAATAGCATGATCAACCAGATGACCTCGGTATGCAAGAGATTTGGCTTATCTTACATAATCCCAAGGGAAGGGGTGTAGGTGCGATCCTATGACTCGTCATTCTTTCGAGGTCGCTGCCTTCCATTGTCGCTCTAAAGAAATAAACCGCCCCCCGATAGCACCGGAAAACATCACAAGAAAAGCCACTGTGCTCGTCATGGACAAGAAATCTAGATCTGCATGTGCGACTGGATTTCTTATGTCTGGACTTGGTGGCCAAAATAGTAAAATGAGTGCTCGGATGGCTTTGTTCGTTCTTAGCATTGTTCTCCCCACTTAGTATTGTTCTTTCCCCCTTTGACTTCACTCATCCACCAACTTGCCAATCCCAACAAGGACAATACTTATCCATTGTCTGTCTCGGCCTCTTCACCATGAGACTGTTAAACCTTCTGGGATGCCACCCGGCTGCCGAAATGATCAACTTCGTGGTGAATGATGCTTCAAGGAGGTATAAGTCTCATCACGAAGCTTTGGCATCAGACCCTACTCTATCCCATCGGACCAATTCCATCTCGTAACGATGGCTTTTCCCAACCCCGAGCAACAGATCATTACTCTCCAAACTGGGGATGGCCAGATAATCAACGTATCTCTTCCGGAAATCGAGGAGTTCGTCCAGTACAACATCAAAACATGCATCGACTATGGAGCCCAGCTAGGCGCAACAGTCGTGCTTTTAGTAATTTTGATTCTTTTGACTCGTCGTGACAAGCGTCGCTCGACGATCTTCATTCTCAATGGATTAGCTCTGCTCTTCAACTTCCTTCGCCTGCTCTTCCAGTGCATCCACTACACCACTGGGTTTGAGAGAATCTATCCCTATTTCTCATTCGACTATTCCGAGGTCAAGACCCGAGCATACGCAATTTCGATCGTTGCGACCATCTTTGAAAGCCTTGTCGTTGTGTGTTTCGAGTGTTCGCTGGTGCTCCAAGTTCATGTGGTGTGCGCAACCTTGCGTCGCCGTTACCGCCGGGTCCTATTTGTGGCTTCCATATTAATGGCCCTGGTAGCGATCGGGTTCCGCATGGGCTTTATGGTAATGAACTGCATTGAAATTATCAACCTCTCGTCCTTCAGTGGTATTCAGTGGCTGGAGAGTGCTTCGACAATTGTCATCACAATCAGCATCTGCTTCTTCTGCACTGTTTTTGTCACAAAGTTAGGCTTTGCAATTCGACAACGGACTCGGCTCGGGATCCGAGACTTTGGTCCCATGAAAGCTATCTTTGTCTGTGGATGTCAGACTCTCATTATTCCGACTGTATTCACCATCGTCCAATACTTTACGGTCACTCCTGAATTATCCTCCAATGTCCTAACTCTTGTTGCAATCTCTCTTCCACTCTCCTCTATCTGGGCTGGCGCTACTCTCGAATCTCGTCGTGTTGAATCGGTTCCTGCACGCCGTCAAAATCTGTGGCATGCACTTGCCCTGAATGGAGCCAGTCTCAACCAGACCAAGCAAACTGCGACGCAAATCACCGGCAGCACTGCCGCACAGACATTGTGCTATGTGGAGCCAAGTGCATCCAAGCAATCCCATGACTCTGACATTCCCCTCGGAATCTCCGTGGAACATGATATCTCCGTCAGCAGTGTTCATAGAAACGATTCGATTGTTTGAGCCACTGTGCTGATATCGCAATGTTCACCAAGATGTCAGCAAAATATGGAAGGACATGGAATATTAGTAACTGCATGACCTGGTTTTTTTTTCTCTTTTTGACTCGCTTTCAATTTCAGCCCAGGCCTTATTCTAGCCAATGCCCTTATGCACCTTTTTTTCTAATCTCACATCTCTGACATGTGTACTATTGCCGGATATTTTCCCCTTTATTTGCCATGAACATTTCTTCTGTACTTCTAATTATCACCGTAATACGAGCACTCCAGCAAATACCAAGACACATACCACCTGCCACCAGAAGTCGGGTCTTGCATGTGTTTTCAAACCGACAGCCATGATCATCAGTACTCCAGGCATCGTGACATAAGGAATTCGGCATTCGTCATAGGGTGCTTGCACTGATTGGTTTTTCTCGATGCATGTTGGTTGGATGTGACTTTTTAGAGTAGTGACGGACCACGGCTGACGTACGTTGATAGTATCGCCACTCAATAATATGATGCATGTGAACTGAGACTCATCAGCTGTTGTACCTTTGTACCATTGCTCTGCTCCAAATTAGTTGTAAGAAATCATGTTCTTTTTTGAAGATGTAAAACCTCCTCTCTTCTCCTCCAAACTCAGACCATACCATTCATTGATCCCGTCAATCTCACGATATCCCACAAGTCCGATCTCAAGTCGACCTCAACCTCAAGCAACCATGCGTTTTAAATCAACTATTTTTGCCACATTCTGGCCAGTAGCCAATGCGGACACTGCTAATATTAATATCTAGGCGTTCAAAGCGAAAGACAAGGATGCGCCTTTTAATGGTAGCTGGTGGATTACATGTTTCATTGCAACGACGATCACGCTCTCACCCTTGTTGAGCAGTGTAATAAGGGTCTTTGCAAATTTGGTGGATATAATAAGGATGATTGCTAAAAAGAGGTTTCCTTAGATGACATTGTAGTGATTGTTAAATGTTCTAAGGAATAGATATCCAATGGGGATAACTTCCGGGAAATTTGTCAAGCTCAGCATTCCATTCTTGGCGTTTGGGGCTATGTAAGCCGCTCGAATTCAGGGTCTATAATATGGTAATTTGAAACACAGCGTTGATAATGCAAGGTGCAGGCGAAAATTAAGCTTGTCACACCAAGCCTTTGATTTGATCCGAGTTTTGATCCAATGATCTACACCACAGATTATCGTATTCGTCAGCCTATCTGCTCCCTGCATTCCTGTCCCTAGATGTATAGGCGAGTACGTACGCGATCCACCAGTCCGGAATCCAGACGAATCTCATGAACTACTGGCTCCCGTGACAATTACGATAGTGACAGTGGAGCTATCGTTGACCAGTCAATAGCAAGCCCTCGCCAGTACATTCGTCTCCAATCACCTGGACTAGATAGCGACTTATTCTGAGAAATTGCCCGAAAAGTGCAGATCTTTCCCGATATGTGAGGTTAAGTTATGCTCCAGATAACAGGAATAATCAACTTCATAGAAAAACTCTTATCACGAGCAAAAAATCCCTCCGTTGATGATGCCATGATCGCCAATGAATGGTATGCCGTAATCCACAGTTCTTGAAATTTAGGTATGTCCACGTTACCCATTGCACAGCCTGGTCCGAGAACCCTTGACAGACGTCACATATTTCGAGAATTCCAGCCAGGGGGTTTAGGAATAGATAAAGAACAGTGATAATGAGCTTCTTATCTCGAGTTCTGTTTAAGTTATTCAATAAACATCAGCTTCCGCGACCATGTCCGAAAAAAATATACAGGAGCTGGCAACAGACGACTTCCACCCGAGATGTTCAAACCAATTGGAACACGTCGATACCGATTCCTCCCAAGATGACAGTATTCTTGCAATCAAGACGGATATCGTGGACGATTTTCCCGAAGGTGGACTCAGAGCATGGCTTGTCGTATTCGGTGTCTTTGCGAGTTTGACATGTACTCTTGGTATGCAGTTCACCGTCGGCGTTTTGCAATCCCATTGGGAAACACACCAACTACAGAACTACTCTTCTAGTACGATTGGATGGATCTCCTCGGTCTATATTTACCTTAATATGCTCTCGGCGGTACAGGTCGGCCCATTGTTCGACAGATTTGGCCCTCGGTGGCTGATGCTTATCGGCTCCGTGCTTTTCACCTTGTCTGTATTCCTATTGAGTTTGTGTGAGAAGTATTACCAGTTTATGCTTTGTCTGGGATTACTCAGTGGAGTGAGTGCTGCATTTGTTTCCAATCCATGCATGGTTGTGTTGTCGCACTGGTTTTATCGTCGTCGCGGCATGGCGACTGGCCTTTCCATGGTTGGGGGTAGTTTGGGTGGAGTCATCTTCCCCATGATATTGAGAGCGACACTTGAACCCTTAGGCTGGGTGTGGTCACTGAGGATTATCGGATTCATCTTTATGGGACTCCTCACCATTGGCAATATCTGCGTTCGAAGCAGATTGCCAGCTATTGGGCAAAAGGCTGTTTTTGACTTTCGGTGCTTCCGAGACACACGATTCATCTGCTTCACGATGGCCCAGTTTTGTATGTGCTCTCATTTTTACAGATGGATATATGATAAACTGATTACTTTACTAGTTGCCCAGATTGCTCTCTACGCATCGATGGCCCTTGTTCCTACATACGCCCTCTCGCAAGGATTCAGCTCGGACACTGGATTCTACCTACTGGCTGCATATAACGGGTATGTGATTCCACTCTTTCCTTGGTTGATGTTTACTAACACATGCCAGTGCGGCGGCCGTTGGTCGGGGGCTTTCAGGAGTGGTTTCCGATCGCTTTGGACGTTTCAATACCATGTCATTGATGATGGCCACTACTACGGCTTTCATCTATATTCTTTGGTGTCCATTTGGAAATTACCTCGGTGTGATGTATTCTTTTGTTGTCTTAATGGGACTTGGCACTGGAACTATTCTCTGTTTACTTCCCGTCTGTCTCAGCCAGATGTGCAAGACAGAAGAAGTTGGACTTTGGTTGGGAAGCTGCTATCTCGTCATCAGCCATGGGTAGGTCTACTTCAAATCCTTATAGGTGCATATGCTGATCTGTGCTATTAGGCCTCTCGTGGCAATTCCTATTGGTGGGCAGCTGCTACAGGCAGTTGGGCCAACAAATCTTGTCGTTTTCATTGGCGGCATGCTTGTTGTATCCCTTCTCTGCTTACTCACGGCACGTTGGGCTTGTTTAGGATACCATTGGAAATTACAAATCAAGATATGAACATATGTCATTGCAATGCTAGCGAAGAGTGCTTCTTGCCGTTGCATAACTGTTACATTGTTAAATAATGTTTTCTCGAGGCATATATCACGGAGAATGCCCACCGAGTACTTAATTCCGCAACAAACTGCAGCAAATAGCATTTGAATAAATGATGTACATTATTAGATTTTATTCGCTAGAAAGTGATGCATCCGAGCCGGAGTAAATACGAGCTTGGCGGCCCTTCGCCCCCAAATGGCCTCTCCTTGTAAGAAACCTTCAGACATAAGCTACAGTATTATTGAAACTCTTGCATTCGATACAAACATTATAAAGCTTATTAGCTCTTTCTCCACGCGTTCGAAACATTATGGTAAGTTTCATAATAAAATTCTAATCAGGTCTAGAAGATGATGGCTACCGTGCAAGGAACATCAAAGCCACATCACGGCCCTCGGCTAGGAAACAAACTCCGCTTTTAATAGACCACACTGAATTGCATCTGCGGCATGTATTAGCTTTTTTAGCGTCGACGGCCCGGAAGCGTGGCCCGTAAACATGGACGCTACGTGACGTACACTAATTGGGGGCCGCTTTCAGGCAACACATGTCACATATCTCCAAAGTTTCATTAATGCATAATTGCCTCGCTTATCACCAACTCATTCCTTGGCATTTCATCAGCCACGGCACGCGGGGGGCTAAAGTCAAAACCCCCGATATAGATTGCAGGATGGCCTGACTGAGGACCGCACCTGTTACTACTCCTTCACATAAACTCTGGGGCTTTCCTCTTCGCCGATCTTTCGTTTTGGCTGACGTTATCAAATTCTGATAGTTGTTCTCGAAGTACGATTGGTGTCAATACAAATCTGTCGGTGTAGTGCCGACTGGTTCTACTACTATGACATATACAGTTCAGTATGTGCCTAAGCTGGGAAGTCAGGAATATGATTCCCAAATGAGCAGGTGGGATGAAGATAACAGACCACCGCAATATGCTGCTGTTGCTATCACTACATTCGCGGCAACCATTGCGGTCGTGGTGAGGCTTTATGCTCAACGGGTATACAAGAAAGGATGGGGACTCGATGACCTTTTTATCCTCATCGCCTTGGTATGACTATCTACCCTAATATCCTGATCAGCTCTTGACATGGCTAAGTTTGTATAGCTTATATTGTACGCCGAATTCACTGCTTCCCTCCTGTCTTTGAAGGCTGGAGCTGGGCTGCATCAGGTTCGCGTTCTGCACGAAGACAAAAATCCGCCATATGGGCTTCAACACATCTACACTGTTAGTCAAGTTCAAGTAACTAAACTCGTCCATGCTCTTTTATAACCAATCTTTTAGAATTACTGGGTCATCACCATCCTCTGGGCTCCCGGTGTCACTTTCATCAAACTCTCCATTCTCGTTATATATCAGCGTCAATTCTCCAGGCCTCAGCGCTGGTTCAAAATCACAATATGGACCAACGCATTATACGCAGTTTTGCTAGGAGTTGCGTCGACAATTTTATTCATCTTCCAATGTTCGCCAGTCGACTACTACTGGAAATGGTACATGATATATTATGGCGATTCATCACCAGCTGGGAAATGCTTATCACATACACACCAATACCTCAGCATACCCCAAATCTTAAACACAGCATCAGATCTGGCCATCTTTTTTCTCTCCATGCCAATCATTTGGAATCTGCATGTCCAGCAAGCTTGCAAGTTTGCTATATTCGCCGTGCTTTTACTCGGCGCTTTCACCATCGGCTGCGGCATTGCAAGGATCGTGATGATTTTCCGAGACACTAATACCGAAGACGTGACTGTATGACCACTACCCATCCCAGCCAGCGCAAACATAAGAATTGACATCTAAATAGTGGGCAAATGTCGATTCCGCCACCTTTACCGTCATCGAAGCAGCAATCGGTATAATCTGCGCCTGTCTCCCACCGTCCGCACCACTATACTTCCGTATTATGCAGAAATGGGGTTTTCTTTCTGGTGAATCGGAGGAATCAGAGTTAAGAGAAAAATATCACGGCCGTTCAAGCACAAAAGAGAACAAGAATGCGCCTTTTTTGAAAATGCCAAGCTCATCCACAAGGGCGAGTGCGGGTCCTAGAGACTCTTTTCAGAACTTGGTTATTACTGAGACCAATGCTCACGTATGGTCACCAGCCAGTGAGCATAACAGAGGCAGCTTCTACTTGAGGGAAACGCCAGAAGGTGGAATTCTGGTCCAAAATAGGATAGAGCTATCATCGAATAGGTCATTATCCGAGAGCTCTAAAGAATAAGATTCTGTATATGAGAAATATGAAAATCTAAGCCTCTTTCTTTCCTCCTATCATTATACTCACTTCTAGCTACTTGCCAATAGAATATACTGGCTAACCTCAGATGATGACCATAAATGCATTGCCTTCTAGAATGTTCTAATTTGCAACCCTTGGAAGTTTGGGCGGACCGCCTGCCACATGGCCACGGCAGTCTCCACAAGGATATCGGCCCAATTGACTCATTTCCAATGCATAAAATCCAAAACGAAGCCAAACTCTAATCATGAGCCTAGGCCGAAGGTTATGTTGGGGCCATATGCAATATCATTCTTTTGGCCCCCATTTGCGCCATTAACTGGTATGACACGATACCATTGAGCATCCGATTGGTTTCGCGATATGTAGGTAGCAAGCATTGCTCCCTCGGACTTACTATTTATATCTCTCGGAGTCTGTGATCTGTGGCTTTGTGCTGTCCCTCGGCAAACGGATGATTTCTGGATTCAAGTGCCGTGTTGCGAACTGTGGAGTATCGGTGACTAGGTACCGATATTACTAAATCAAGCATGCATTGCGAGGTGTGCTTTCCTTAGACGATTTGCTCACCGACTAGATCTAAGGCATTCCATAGTTTCCTTATTCGATCACTCCATCTCACCTAAGATTTGAATCACCAGAGAAATGTAAACAAAAAGTAACTGATCAAAGTTCTTGAGATCATGCACAGCATGGATAAAGAGAATTCTGCAACTTGGATGGAGACCAGTACAGAAGAAAAGCATGAGTGACCAGCGTAAGCACTGCAGCAGTCATCACTTCATCTAGTCCATGGTCAATCATCGATATGCTTGTCTTCACAGATAGCAGTACAAGCTTGCGACTAGCATCTTCAATCCAAAAAGCAGAGAGAACAAAAATGCCGCGGAATATTGGGGTATGTCCGAATTCTAGATCGGCGTGATCGTGATCGTGATCGTGATCCGCGTCTCTATTTATGAGGAAATGATGTCATTCCTCAATATTGAAGAGGCGATCCCCCACTAAGAAAATTGTGGCTAAATTGAAAAGATATCATAGGCCCGGTGGGACGCGCTAGACTGCTCGTGTCAGTTTTTCAAGGTCATCCCCGCTGCAGATGGGGGCCGAAATACTTCGGGTCCATCCTACTCCACCGATGATCTACGAGTATGGAGATGATGTAATGTTTATAGAACATGAGGGCAAGTGAAAATGCGAGTACTGGGTATGTTGCCCGATGTTGATAGTATGCAAGATGGAGATATATAGGCTAGATAGGTGCTGTGCCCTAGGCGGAGCTAGATATCAGCAGATATAAAGCAACCAGGCAAGTCCATGGATAGGTCAAGTAGCACGTATGCCACCAAAGTATTACAAATTCCATAGAGCTGAAATTAGCGAGCGGTCGAGAAACGAAGGTTATGTACACACAGAACGCTCTATGTATGAGACCATATGCGCCAGAGCACAAATAAGAACAAGAAACCCCAAAATATCAATAAGTCAATACTAATTCAGTTGCACATAGTTCGCTGGATACGACCGTTAGTTAATGTACAAATTGATCGCGAGGTTGTGTACTTACCAGGGAATTGGCCTTCCCGGCCACCGGTCCGCCCGGTCCACCATTCGTTTGTGTTCTCCGTTCGTTGAGTAATTTCGATCACATCACCCGCAGAGAATCCAAGGTCACCATGTGCCTGTGCTTCATAGTCGTAAAGTGCGGTCGCCGTCTCGACAGGCTTGCTGAGGTGAGCGGGCTTCGCTCTTGGCGGCGGTGGGGCCGGTTTGCTCTTGGCAGCTGAGGAGAAGCTGCCGGTTGGGCTAGGGGTAGCAGCGCCGGCCGAGTAAGGGGGTGGGGGGAGCTCATCGACGTTGGAGGAAGATCTCCCACGTTTGGCTTCGGCCAGTTTGGGATTCAATTTGGAGTTGGAGCGACGAGCGCCTTGTGCCTTGAAGTGGACGATTGACAAAGCTTCGGTGCGTTCCTGCACATCACCGCGCTTCTGCTCGAATGCCTCCACCACATCCAGGTCGAGGTTGAAGTAACTGATGTTCATGCGTTGCATCTTATCGTGCAAGGTGTAGAAGACGTTGAGTTGCATGTAGTAGAAGGACTGGAATAGTGGGCGAATAAACTCCGCCTCAAGGGTGAATAGCTTCGGTAGCTCCTCCTTGAGCAAATCGTTGTAATAGTTGTATTCCTGTGTCGCCTGCTCGACGTCATTCTCGGCCTTGTATAGAGCCTTCTCATCCTTGATGGATTTGTCCTTCTTCTCCTCCAGCTTTTTGAGGGTGGCGTTCCGACGGTCGTAGTCCAGTTTCTTATGGTCGCGCTTGACAGCTACCTTGCGAATGACTTTGATCACCTCAAGGAGCTGGTCCGCAGGGCTGATCACTCGGCTCTCGATCATCTCTAGCTCGGGCACGAGGGCCTCCTGCAGCTCCCGCACGATCGCCTCATACTCCTCACAAGCTTGGATGCCCGCAGCGTTTCCTTCATCGTGGTATGAGTTGGGGTCGGAGGCTCGGCCTGAGATGGGCTTGTAAATCTCGGCGACTGATTTGGAGAACTCGATCTGGTGGGTCAACATCCCTGTTGCGGAGCATCAGCTGTTGAGGATCTTGAAAGGGGAGGCTAGACCTCGGATTGCGCCGGAACAAGGCTGCATACCATTAATAGCGTCAAAGTACTTCTTAGACTCATCGTGTAGCTTCTTTGTTTCCTTCTCTAGCTCCTGGAAGCGGCGCTCGGAGTCGGTATACACGGCATCGACGGTGTGTTCACCGATGTTAAACTTGACTTTGAACTGCTGTGGCGCTCGAGCGAGGCTCTTGGAAAACCCCTTGAAGCTCATCTCGGACTATAGTGTAAGAGATAGAATTGGAGGAGAAAGTGGAAGAAAAGTAGGTCAAAAGATCAAGGCGGGGTGTTCGGCCTTTCCGTTCCCAACTTTCGCTTCAACTATGACATAAGACTTCTCACACCTGGAAGATTGTGGCTGTACCTAACTTTTACCCTATAGGACTATACCACATCGAGTTGGTTCCTCCGAATTGAGATTTGAAATGGGTCTGTTTGTGGCTAGGCTAGAAAGCTGAATGGTTCTTTATTTTTATGTCTTTTTATTTTATCTCCCTAACGTAATGTGGTTATTCGGTGCCTAATCGTGTGTTGCGGTGTTACAGCCTTACAGGCTGCAAGATTCCCGGGCGCGGTTTCCGGTCTCCATTCCATAGTTCCCATCGGGGATCCTCCACGTTCACCAGCCCTATGACAATGGCGGATAATCTGCAGTGGCTGAGATGATTTACGTGGCTTAGTGTTGATGCGTAGACAATTTGTAAGCCCGCATTTCCCGTGTTATGCGGAGATGAGGTGAGCCCGGTATATGTGCTAGTGTCGGCATACTGGTGATGATTGTGGACGCTAACTTGCTCAGATTCTGTTCATGTCCAGCTAAGCTCACTATGACTGTTTAGGGCTATCACTGCAGTCCAGCGTTGATTCATTCAAAGGCCATTCTCTATGCTATAGGACCAAGTCACGTGCCTGAGGCAACACGGAGAAACCTGAGTCCGGGATGACCTCAATGGGAATTCCCCGAGATATCGGAAATTGTTGGCTTATCCTCTTTCTTTCCATCTTTGATGGTCCTTTCTCCATCATCGTCACCATAATGCCTACTACCCCTGCTTGGAGACAAGCCTCTCTGGCTTGTTCCAAGCGCTTGTCGTCGTCCTACGGCGCCTGGAATGCCCCTCGCCGCGTACTCGCCACTGGTTTCCGCGGAGCTCGGTCTTATGTCACCGAGACCAAGGCTGGCCATGCCCAGGTCAACATTGAAACTGCTATCAAGGAGGAGCAGAAGTCCTTCATGAAGCAGGCTGGTGTTGCTCCGGGAAGCGTTAATTTGCCTGGTACCCAGACCTCGGGCGACGCTGCCATGAGCCCTTCCGCCGGTATCCTCAAGCAGGCCACCGTTATGGACCAGGGCACTCGTCCCATCTACCTCGATATGCAGGCGACTACTCCCCTCGATCCCCGCGTTCTCGATGTCATGCTTCCCTATCTTACCGGTATCTACGGAAACCCGCACTCGCGAACACACGCCTACGGTTGGGAGTCCGAGAAGGCCGTCGAGGAGGCCCGTGAGCACATCGCCAAGTTGATCGGAGCCGACCCCAAGGAGATTATTTTCACCAGCGGTGCGACTGAGAGTAACAACATGAGTTTGAAGGGTGTTGCGCGGTTCTTTGGACGTTCCGGCAAGAAGAAGCACATTATCACCACCCAGACCGAGCACAAGTGTGTTCTTGACAGCTGCCGGCATCTGCAAGATGAAGGTTTCGAGGTTACCTACTTGCCTGTCCAGTCAAACGGTCTCATTCGCATGGAGGATCTCGAGGCTGCTATGCGCCCTGACACCTGCATCGTCAGTGTTATGGCTGTGAACAATGAAATTGGTGTGATTCAGCCCTTGGATGAGATTGGTCGTCTGTGCCGCTCCAAGAAGATCTTCTTCCACACCGATGGTGCCCAGGCCGTCGGCAAAATTCCCCTCGATGTCAACAAATCGAACATTGACTTGATGTCCATCTCCAGCCACAAGATCTACGGTCCCAAGGGTATCGGTGCTTGTTACGTTCGTCGTCGCCCTCGTGTTCGTCTCGACCCCCTCATCACTGGCGGTGGCCAAGAGCGTGGTCTCCGCAGTGGTACTCTGGCCCCTCATCTCATCGTTGGATTCGGTGAGGCCTGCCGTCTCGCCCTTCAAGATATGGAGGTAAGAATTCCCTTCCGTTTTTGTTATTTGCAAACGACATGAATGCTAACATTCTCCCTAAAGTATGACACAAAACACATTGAGCGTCTGTCAAAGCGTCTCAGCGAAGGTTTGCTCTCCATGGAGCACACCACCCTGAACGGTGACCCCAAGGCCCACTACCCTGGCTGCGTGAACATCTCCTTTGCCTACGTCGAGGGTGAATCCCTCCTGATGGCGCTCAAGGATATCGCTCTTTCCTCTGGAAGTGCCTGTACCTCCGCCTCGCTGGAGCCCAGCTACGTCCTGCGTGCCCTGGGCAGCAGTGACGAGAGTGCTCACAGCAGTATCCGATTCGGTATTGGCCGTTTCACCTCCGACGCCGAGATGGACTACGTTCTCAAGGCCGTGCGGGAACGTGTACACTTCCTGCGTGAGCTGAGCCCGCTTTGGGAGTTGGTGCAGGAGGGTATCGATTTGAACACGATTGAGTGGAGTCAGCACTAAATCATACGTTTCATATCTTTCTCTGGTATTAATTCCTTTCGTTGAAGAAACAAAATTATTTTGCCCTTCGAGGGATGGCGTTGGGATTCCTAATGTATTAACAACTCCGATGTACAGAATGCAATCACTCCTTTCATTATTTTCATGCCTGGTCCACATCAGTGGACTTTTAGATACGTAGTTCTGGGTTTTAATCAACCGTATCTTCTAGGATTTCAACCGAGCCAAGTGATCTACAACAGCGTCCCATCTACTAGGAATTAGAAATCCAAAAAACCCAAGAGCGGGGCAAGCATATATCTTGGAAATAGAGAGGAAATGCCGATGCAATGATATTGAACCACAACAGTCCAAAAAATAATATGTAAATGCAACACACATACAACCAATCAATAGCCCATCACTCATAAAGCTTCGAAAAGCCAGTCTCGGGCGGCTGCAACCAATTCCGCTCATCATACTCCCACCCCTCCGCCCCCTCAATGACATGAAAAGTGTACGCATACCGACTGCGCTCACTAGTATTCTTCTCACTCTTATGCAGCACATTTCCATGAATAAGCACCAAAGACCCAGCCTTGACCTCCAAAATCTCCAAATCCTCCTCAGAAGGCTCAGAGACCTTCTCCTCCTCCATACCCTTGGGGAGCGCAGGGCCCTCATTCACAATAAACTCCGTCCCAGAAGCACCGTTCTTCCGTACAAACCGCCTCTTAATATGCCCGCCCTTCGCACCCTTATGAGATCCCTTAATCATACCCAGTGTCCCGTTCCCGGGTCCAGCATCCTGCAGCGCATACCACCACCCGACAGCAGAAGGCGGATCCGTGTACAGGAACTCTGAGTCCTGGTGTGAGGGTACTGCGCCGCCGATGGAGGGCTGTTTGCAGATGAGCATGCTTTGCAGGACGCGGGGGTCGATGAAGCCTAGGGATTTGGCGATTGCGGCATTGCGGGAGTTGAGGGAGATGGATTTGAAGGGTGGGGACAGGGTGTGTAGTGAGTGGCCGATCTTGTTCACGGCTAGGTTTTTGGGCTTGAGGAGGCTTGTGCGGCCGGTGGTTGGGTCTGGGGTTGTGCTGAAGGCGTCTGTTTCGAAGAAGAAGCGGATTTTGTCGCCTGATTCTAGGAAATAATCGTCGCCTACGTGGTCGGTTGTGTCATCGTCGCCCGTTGTGAATTGGGTCAGGGGGTGGGAGTCTAGGTCGAAATTGTTCAAGAGGTTGTTGGATTCGGTCAGGACGGCGTTGATTTCGTCTTGGGTGAGGTAGTCTGGGAGGACTAGGTAGCCATTCTCGTGGAAGAAGGCAACTTGGCCTTCTGTGAGACCAGACATTTTGGTTCTTGGATCTTGTGTCCTGGGGTTTGTTCTTTGTAGTGGTTGCGGTGGGATTGGATCGGAGGATATTGTATTGCCGAGTGTTTTTATAAAAGGCGGGGAAGCGATAAGCGATATTGATCTGTCGCGGGATTGGCTGCGTCCCCTCAATGTTCTGATTCGGAGATTGCCGATCTACGGCAGTTGAGATCTGTCATCGGTGGGTCGTTATTGTTCTTGTTTTATGATAAGGTCTTTTTTATGACCAACTTGTGGATAATATGGGGCCATATCAGTAGGGGATGCACGGAGTCCGCAGTTATCTCCATGCAACTGTCACTCACCCTTTTATAAGCGAGATGGAGGTCAACTCCAATCAAGTTAAGCGCGAAATTGCAAGGATTGAAGTTATGACCAATTGACAAAAGGAGAGCCTACGAGTTCTTCATAGATATCATAATATGCCGAGTAAGATTCTTGGGCGGATTGGGCCAGCAGGTATCTTCTGCAAAGCCATAGGCCAAATTTGTATGTAAGACAGGGTAGAAAAGCGAAACAAAAAGACAGATTCAAACGCCGCCATGCCGGATATTCAATAATAATCGTCAAGTCCTTATTTCAAATCATGAGCAAAAGTATCAGACAAGAATCTTAACCTCCCAAAAAGACGTAGCCGCACATTAATCATCATACAATTCCTTTTAACTAGCATACCCAATTGATGCTGACTGGCGAGGAGGAGCATATCTCCGAACAGCACGACTTGGGCTGCACCCAGCCGACCCTATTTCAATGGTCTTCAACTCTCGACTCAAGGCATCCATGCCAGGGTTTCCGCTGCTCCCATTGCTGGCAGCAACAGGGTAGCTTGGAGAGCCCTGGGAAATCGGCACCTTGGATGGAATTGGTGGACCGGAGCTGTAGTCATACAGTGGAGATCGAGAAATAGGGGATGGTGAAACAGAGCCACGGGATGAGCGGGGCCGTTCAGTTGATGTCGGTGTGTTGTAGCCCCGGGTTTGTGTGTAACCTCCTCCATAGTTGTCATATCGTGGTGTTCGATCCACAGATTCGGAGCTAGAATGATGGCTCGGGGTGTACCGCGGACGATCGGAGCCGTATGAACTAGTCTCCGTCCTGAAGCCCACGCGAGGCGGCGGGGCGTTGCGAGATGCCGTATCATTGCCACGGGACGTGGGCCGGTCTCGAGGAGAGTGCTTGAAGCGAAGGATGACCTCCGGCTTGCGGTTCTTCCGTTCTGGCTCAGGGGCCCAAGTGTCTGTAGGAAGATGATCAGATGGATCAATCTCACGGCCATCGTCACCAATGATTGGCTGGCTGAGATCCCGGACGGGTTCGATCTCGGTGCGCACCACTGCGTTTGCGTCCCTGGCGTTGGATGGCGAGTCATAGGCCGGCGTGTGATCTCTGCTACTGACGGGTCGTGCGGCATGTGGGTTGATGGAGTTGTACGAGTCAGGCGAGAATGGGATCGACGATGCACGTTCACGGTCACTGGAAATCGAAGGTCGGGGGCTAACCGATTTTCGTGTCACCATTCGCATGTCTGAGCTCGTAGACCCGCCACGGCTTGAGGTAGGTCGCTCGGTAATGGGCTGTGGAGAGGTACGGAGAGGATAAATGGGAGATTCGTAGGGTGAAGGTGATGCTTGAGCAGACTTGGTAACAGGCACGAGGGCACCCGGTCCTGGCGGTTGAGAAATCATCATTTCATCGTCGAAATGAGCACTTGGTCTCCGGCCAAGTCGATCATCATAATTAGGGAATTCTTCGGGCTCGTAACCAGCGACGAGACTGCTGGGCATAGGAGATGTTGTGTTCGAGTGTCCCGGAGTGTATGGCTGATATGATGATGGCTCTCTGGCAGGTGGTGGGGCTGGCTGCATTGGCTGTATTAGTGGCATCGCCTGCATTGGTGGCATTTGCTGCACAGGGGGCATTGGCTGCATTGGCTGCATTGGCTGTACTGGTTGCATTGGCTGTACTGGCTGTACGTGCTGTGCCATGCGAGACCGATGAACTGGCGGAGGTGGAGGCGGACCATCCTCGTCCTCGTCTTCCACGCGTGGCTGCATTGTGGCGTACTCGGGATGATAGGAATCCCGATGCATAGGCTGAAGTGCTCGAATGTCGTGCGGCTGGTAGCGAGGGTCACCTGCTGGCCCGGACGATGAATTCGGCCGCGAGTAACTCAGCGGTGCAGGCTCATCTGCGTATCCTGGCTGGCGTGGGGTAAAAGTCGACACCGGCCCAAACGACATAGGAGGAGCGGTATACTGGGGTGAGAGCGGACTGTAGATATCCTCGCCCTGCTCGTAAACTGCCCTAGTATGCATATCAACCTCATACGATGGCTCTTGGGAAGCAGAGCGGTACTCTCGTGGAGGATGCTGATCAAAGTCGGAGTGGCTGCGAGGTTGCAGTGGGCGCGAGTCATATGCAAGCTCTGGGTTCTCGTGACTGGCGTACGTTGTTTCCTGTGTCTGATTACGTCTCATCGCGCCTGCTGGAGGAAGCGCAGGGGCTGTGGCTGGCGTTTCCCACTCGCGCTGATAGTTATCAGGGTTATCGTATGCTCGAGATTGAGACGGGTGATTGTAATGTTGCTCATATGTAGGCTCTGAGTGTTGTCTCTGGGGATAATTGTGGGAGGGCTCTGGGACAGAAGCCGTGGGCATGTTTTGGACTTGTTCCCGAATGTTTCGTGAAGGCACCGGATGATGCAATGCAGGAGCTGGGGGTTGCTCTTGGACAGGAGGTCTGGGAGGGGCTGCTCCTGATGGATCAGTGGGCAGTGGTCGTCGCTTGAAAGCGTTCAGTTGTCTGGGACCTGATAGGCCCGAGCTTGATGGAGTAGCTGCTGTTGCTGCTGCTGGTTGTTTGCCTTGGACTCTGTCCGCGGCTTCCTTTCGCTTCTCAATAAGTGCCTCATCCTGTTGTCGGGTATCGTAGTATGTCATCTCGATTCGAACTTCGCCGGAGTATTTGCCTCGTGACTGCAATGGGTGCCAGTGATCGTCTTGGCTTCCTCCAGGAATAATGAGATTGTTCAAATCAATCCACGTCTCTCCAATCAGATCGGTCTTTTTGTCGTCGTTGAACACAGAAACCTTGAGTTTGTAGTAGTCTGGGGATTGGTGTACAGTGAAACGGAGCTCGTGGTCCCTGTGTTGACGTCAGTTCGTTTACTTGCAAACACCATGCATATGAACGTACCATCTAGGAGTTTGACCTCCTCGTAAATCTGTAGGGGTTTTCTTTGCTTCCTTTCCTAAGCGCGCTGCACAATAAGGGTTTTGTTTTCCCATAGTTTTGCGATTAGGTAGATTCTTTGCCCGGTCGATAATGGCTACCAAAGTGCCAATGGGTGGCCCATCAACCGACATATCGGCAAAGATGCCAGCCGCATGACTACCCTTGAATACTTTAGACATGATTAATCAACGATATAGTGATATCGCATTAAACATGCACAGGGAAGAGAAGGAGAAAAGAAAAGAGACGATCAATCAAGAGAGGGGGAAATCATCAAAGATAAAAGCGCCCACTTTCCTGGAATGTCAGAGACAGTATTGTAGGTGGCTGGGGGCGGGTCGTTTTGATTGCTGATTGGCTCCAACCCCTGACTCAAGCGTTTTAAATGTGGTCGATCCAAGCGATGTGACAATACCAAACCAGATTTAAATTACCCGATAAATATCGTTATCCTCAAGGTCGAGCGTGTCTACGCAACTCTTCCTCCACGTCCTTGTTCCTGGTCACCAGCCTCATGGATATACGTGAGAATTAGATTAGATATCCATTTTCATTTTGACTTTCATCCAACCCGGTCTCAAAGTCCAGACTCCAAGTGGAGTAGCATCGTCAGCTCCGATCAGGTTCCCCAGCCACCGCGATCCACCGATCAATGCATTCCCGACGCCGACAGGGGGCAAGCTGGCAGGAGGTACAACGATTGGCGACTGGTCTGCAGTGATCGTCATCCTCTCAATAGCGTTGTCAGTGAATCCGGTTTCAATTTGTCTCAACTGCGAGGCCTCGCAGCTGTCAGGCGCAGCCCTCCCCACTCATAAGGTCAAGCAGCTGCATGAGCCAACCCCACTTGATTCTAGATTGCTATGGCGACGGGTAAAACATATTGGCTATTGGGCTTGACCGCAATTGCTGCCATACTCCAACGAACCTATATCGAAGAAAATCGTACAAGAATTTATCCTACGTGAAACAGACCTGGATTGAACCTTTGTACAACCCTCGATAGTATCTGTATCCCCTGCTTGTTTTGATCGCTGCCTGCTTCATAGCCCCGGTGATCCATGGAAGATCTAGTTATTCGGCTTATGCGCCCGGGGCCAACTTCTATTATTATGTTGGACGAGTGTCTTCATACGTCGTTTTTAAGTGGGTAAAGATATATGGAAGCCTGGAAGAAACAATTAGCGTCGGGAAATGTCTTGACCGTCAGGTACGCAACTTTTGATGACGCATTGTAAAACATAACTTAAGTTCCCATCATTATTTGGAGCTCATTATCCCAAAAATTTATGGGTCGACCAACTACATCGCTGATCAGAATAATCACTTAATCTAAAACGTGGAATGTGCCAACCATGGGAGAGCGATCGTGACGTATCTAAGAATCTCCCCACGAACTTGAAATGCACGATTCACGCTGGATGTATTACGCCTTAATGCCTTGGTGCCTGAAGCAGGGCGATTAAAGTATGGTGCCTCAGGTGTCAAAAGACACCGCCGCCATTCCCGATCAGGGCGAACTTTTTTGATTGGCAGAAAAAAAGATCAAACCTTCTTGATCACGGCGCTGCCACGAGCTTTAGGCGTGGATACCTCTTCTGTTTTCTTTGGCCAGATTAAACCCTACATCTTATCAGTGATTGATCACCATAGCTCACCATGGCGGCTCCCGTCCTGCCTTTGCAACAGGTGAAGCTCGCCTCGCTGCCATCCACCCGCCTAACACCAGAGCAACAATACTGGCGCACCTTCAAGAACCCTCTCCTCATCCCGTCGCCAGCCAATGGACCTATCAACCTCATTACTCAGCCCTCTGCCCCATCGTCTTCTGCTGTCTTCAGTTCCCTGTCGCAGCCCCCGGACATCTTCACCGTGACCACCGGTGCCCGAGTTCAGATCTACTCCATCCACACCCGTAAATTGCTGCGCACAATCACTCGATTCGATGATACAGTACGGGGTACAGATGTGCGGCCGGATGGCCGTGTGTTGGTGACGGGTGACGATACAGGCACAGTCCAAGTTTTCGACGTCAAATCCCGCGCCATTTTGAAGACATGGAGAGACCACAAGCAACCCGTGTGGGTGAGCAAGTTCTCTCCGAGCGACCCCACCTCTCTTTTCACTACCAGTGATGACCGGACAGTCCGCCTGTGGGATTTGCCTGCTGAGACCAGTCAGCGAACTTTCACTGGCCATACCGATTACGTCCGCAGTGGTGCGTTCATGCCCGGCGCAATGGCCTCATCTGGATTGCTAGTATCTGGTTCCTATGATCGCACAGTCCGTATCTGGGATCCTCGTGTGCAGAGGCGTGCGGCTATGACCTTTAAGATGGCGGCTCCGATTGAGAATGTTCTGCCCATGCCAGCGGGCACTACCGTTCTGGCTTCCGCTGATAACAAGATTGCGGTGCTGGATATCGTGGCTGGTAAGCCAATGCACATGATTCAAAACCACCAGAAGACAGTGACCTCGCTTGCATTAGCTTCCAATGGAGAGCGGTTGCTCAGTGGTGCATTGGATGGACACTTGAAGGTTTTCGAGACAACTGGTTGGAACGCTGTCTCCGGCTCTAAATACCCATCGCCCATCTTGTCTTTGCGTGTTATCACTTCCGGCACAGCACAGGAGGACAAGCACATCGCTGTTGGTATGCAGTCTGGTCTTCTCTCTATTAAGACTCGGCTGTCTGGTCAACAGAAGGTCAAGGACCGTGAACGTCAAAAGGAGATGAAGGCCCTGCTCGAGGGTAAGCTGGAGGAACACGACCGCGAAGTAGCAAAGAAGAAGAAGCTTCGCGGTTCAGGCTGGGAGAAGCGGCTGCGTGGCCGCGATTTCATCGGAGAGGGAGTGGAGATTGTGATCGAGGGCCAGGACAATAAGAAGAGGAAGCGCGAACAAGCCTGGGAGCTTGATTTGCGCAAGGGCCGATACGCCGCCGCCTTGGATCAAGTCCTTGGAGGACCTGATAAGACAGCCCAGCTTACGCTATTCACTGCTCTCCGTCACCGTTCGGCTTTACGTGCTGCTCTCAAAGACCGTGATGAGGTCACCCTCCAGCCCGTTTTGTCATGGGTTTACAAGCATATTCGTGAGCCTCGCCTCGTGGATCTCTGCGTCGAAGTTGCCATGAACCTGCTGGACATCTACTCGGCCAACCTGGGCCAGTCAGCCCAGGTTGACAAATTGGTGGACCGCCTGCACTTCCGTGTGCGTGACGAGGTGGAGATGGCACAGAACGCGTACCAGCTGAAGGGTGCACTTGACATGTTGAAGGCATGATGCTTATAATATGAGTTTTCGGAGTTCGGCTGGATTTACAATTCGTCGGTGTATTGGCGGGCCATCGGTTGTACACATTTGCATAGAAATAAAAGTACCCTTTTCAGTGTTCTGGTTTTTCATGGGCTGTGATTTGCATGAACCCCCACGTCAGAAGTGTGTAAAATTAGATGACAGGTTGCCCAAATATACCGATCAGAACATTCATCAGATGGGCTGAGGGAGTATCCTCGGATCGAAAATTGCTGAATCAGAACCCGCAAATTCGTGTCACTCGTACATGATCAAATTTCTGCTCACCTCCGCCCGTATTCATTTCTACTACTTTTCGTGTCCTATATGACGAGTCCCTCATAGACTTTCTGATATGACTACCAAAGATTCTGAGACCGGCAGAATTCTAATGAAAGATATGGGCTCCATGAAAAGAGATGAAAGGGAAGATGAGGTATTGAGTGTTCCCTTATTCGAGCCCTAAGCTTGGACCTCTTAAGAAGAAACATCCATCCAGCCTCTAGAAGCAGTGTCATTATGTGTAAAGTAGTAGAACTAATGTGCCGCCTCCAAGGGCGACGGGGCTTGGTAATAAGGCACATATCTATGAAACTCCTTGAATTCAAGAAGAAAACTCCCATTCGACGGAGAATATCATGTATTCTGACATTCGAATAGCTACATCACCTGCTTATGAATCTGTGATGAAACATATTAGTAGCTGCTTATTATGTGAAACCCCAGGGCTTCGGCCATTAAGGGAGATTCTGATAGTTAAAGCCGCAAATTTAAGGTTCAAAGAGTGGCGAAGGGACCTGAGAGGAGAAAAAAAATTGATAAGTAGGCCTCAGAGATATGGAAGCGCGACTCACTCAATATTGATCAGTCAAAACTGGGATTGATTAATTCGATTCACATTTAGGAAGTGGAATATAAATCTAGAAGTGAGACCTTGGAACATCGATGAAAGTGAAGTATAAAAGACCGGCATTAATAGAGGCGAGCTACGCCATATATTTAAACGGAGCTAAGGATAGGTCTGAATAATGCTTTTTTTGTATTGGTGACAAAATTGATACCCTAGGTATAAATTAGTCTCCCCTCGCCCTCAACAGTTAGAGCCGCCTAGCTCAGTTCAAATTCCCTGGCTCATAAAGTTCCTCTAGCCGCAGGCGCAGGCGCTTCCTATCATTGGTCTCCTGGAACCCGGTCTGTTGTTGATTTCAGTAAGCAAAAAATTACATGAGGATAGAGAAACCCTGAGATCTAGAGAAGGAAGCAAATTGACAGTGGCTGTAACGATGAGCCTGACAAAAAAAATCCACAACTGGCATTCTTCACGACTGCCTGGAAAACCTTTCACAATGAGAAACGCAAGGTTCCAAAGGGCCAGGGGAAGCAGTAGCTACGCCTTGACCAGGAGGGCCTTCATCCCCAATGTATTGCTTGTGGTCCCGTATGGCCTTAGTATAGTGTTGGATAATTGTATAACATTATTTCTCCAGATATCGCGAACCGTTGAGAGGACCTATATTATTCTACAATAATTGAATGTGGGCGGAGGATTGAATTGCCATCCTCAACCACCCACTACTGAGCGGAGTCTATTTTTCTTTCTCTAGAAGCCGCTTTTCAGAAAGATATAGAGAACAAACCGTTATCTATTGGGTCATGTGTAATCACTTGGGAGCGGAGAGCGGTGTATATGTGTCTGCAGAAACGAAGGGCGGGAGTGGGGATACGAATACGAGAGGAGAACGGATATCTCAGGCAGTAAAGCGTAACACAGTTATTATTGGTCAATGAATCAGCTCCCTTGCCATCGCGGAAAAGTTATGCATATTTGAAGGCATACAGTATTTTACAGAATAGGTATCAATGATGCTATATTGTATGAGGTAGCCAGAAATGCAGGCTTTTTTCTCCCTCTCTTTCTTTGAGGGGAATTATTTATCCGGCGACAGCTGCGCTGTCGCTGTTGCAAAGCACGCCTTGAGCTAAGTGACATAAGTGACATGGAGAAAGTCTAGTTGGACTCTATTTCTCCAATGAACAGCCCTCATATCTAGATAATATTTCCTATAGTATTTAACCGCAAGATATTTGTTCGGTTATCGAGTAATAGGGTAATTTCAAGGTTGGGCAGAATAATGGACCCGACCCCAGTCCCTCCCACCGGTCAGAGCTTAACCGGCATCGGCATCTCCTCCATGGAAACCTCTGGCTTCTCCCAGAATTTGGTGAACCTTTGCATCGAACTCTTGTCTCGGTTTTGGTCACTATTCCCATCGGTATCTCGGCTAACACTTGGCACATCCTTTACCCCTCCATTGTTGCCCCGCTCCCTCGAGAACACAGAAATCCTACAAGCTGTCCCAAGCTCCACCTTCGGCTTTACTGTGGAGAGGGTCGAGACCGACTGATTGGCGATGCTCTAAGGGTAGAAAAAAATAAGAAGAACCACGGCACAGTCAGCAGCCCGGACCGCTGGGCCCGACCCAGAAAATCAATCACGTCACGTTGTCCTTCCATCATGGCCGCCGCTTTTGATGAGGAAGATCTAGCGATCCCACTCGCTTCTTCTGACCGTGAACGTGACCTCCCTCGTGACCGCACCAGGCCGGTCAGCTCCAACCCCTCCGCCATGGCTATGCCGCCGCCCTCGCGCCCGACCGCTAGAGCGGAGGCCACCCAGTCCCCCGCAACCACACGAGATATGCAGCGCCTCGATCAGTATCAGACCGTGAAGATTTTGGGTGAGGGTTCGTTTGGAAAGGTGAAGCTGGCCATTCACCAGCCAAGTGGCCGGCAGGTTGCCCTCAAAATCATCTCTCGGCGTAAGCTACTGTCTCGGGACATGGTCGGCCGTGTGGAACGAGAGATTCAGTACCTCCAATTGCTCCGACATCCTCATATCATCAAATTGTATGTATTCCTTTGCCCCCCTCATATGAATCCCAATTTGTTCTGCGTCCAGACTGATCGGGTGGATTTACCCCGCTAGATACACCGTTATCGCCACCAAGACCGACATTGTGATGGTCCTCGAGTACGCCGAGCGAGAACTGTTCGATTACCTGGTGCGAAAAGGCAAATGCAACGATGACGAAGCCCGAAAGTTTTTCCAGCAAATTATTTGTGCCGTCGAATACTGCCACCGACACAAGATCGTTCACCGTGACCTGAAACCCGAGAACCTGCTCATCGACAGCCAGAAAAACGTCAAAATTGCCGATTTCGGTTTGAGTAATATTATGACAGATGGCAATTTCCTCAAAACTAGTTGTGGTAGCCCGAATTATGCAGCCCCAGAGGTTATTTCCGGAAAGCTTTACGCAGGTCCTGAGGTGGATGTTTGGAGTTGCGGTGTGATCCTCTATGTGCTGTTGGTTGGCCGGCTACCCTTTGACGACGACTACATCCCCGCTCTCTTCAAGAAGATCGCGGCAGGCAACTTCCACATTCCGAGTTACATCTCTCCCGGAGCTGCCAGGCTAATCCGGGCCATGCTCCAGGTTCACCCCGTCCACAGAATCACCATCCCCGAGATTCGGGATGATCCGTGGTTTAGCAAGAACATCCCCAAGTACCTGGAACCTCCAGCCGAAGAGTATATCGCACCCGGTACCGACCAGAGCAAGGCCAATGATGCCAAACTCGCTCCTGGAAAACCGCTTCCAGTACAACACAAGGTTCATCAGATTGCCGTGTCGAAGCTCGAGCGAAGCATGGGATATGGCCGTGAAGATATTGAGGATGCACTCAGACATCCGGAGCCCAGCGCAATCAAAGATGCATTTTCTATCGTCGTTGAAAATGAAATGATGCAAACGAACTGTAAGTCTTGATGCCTTTCCTTGGATGGTAGTATCTAACCAGATCACCATAGCTCCTACTGAAGATAATTTAATGGTCTCAAACGTGCCTCCGCAACCTAAGGGACCCGCAAAGCCGACGGTCGATCGAGCCACCGCTGCCCCCAAAGCTCAGGCGCCACCCGTCTCAGTCACCGCTCGGAAACAGAGCATCTCGCGTCGCATCCGCACCGAAGACGCACAAGTCGACTCCGAGTCTGAAGAGCCACGTCCCAGCCATGTTCGAATTCTGCCAACTAGTCTCCCATATGTGCATGATCAGCTCATGGAGCAACGAGATCGAGAGCAAAGGGCTCGTGTCGACGAAGTGCGTCGGAAAGAAGCTGCTCGGACCGAGGCGGAGGGACTCGGGTCCGAACCTCTGGAGCTGACACCCGAAGAGCAAGCTGCTACAGTTCGAGCATTGAAGCCTCATGCTCGGAGTATAATTGATCTTGATAAATTGCGCCTGGAACCACCGATTGGTCACCCCATTTCGCAGCAGCCCCCTAAGCGATCACGCAAATGGCAGTTTGGTATCCGCTCGCGCAATCAGCCCTATGAGGCCATGCTGTATTTGTATCGGGCAATTGCTGCCCAGGGTGGTGTTTGGGATGTCCAGCCCGTCGAGTCAGGAACTCAAATTGGACCGGAAGCGACGCCTTCCCCGGATAAACCTAAGCCGCTCCAGAACAAATACCCTGATCTTCCATCGGATTACTATATTCCTAAGGACCCTTGGTTTATTCGTGCACGCTTGCTGAAAGAGGGAGTCAAGGCCCCCGGAGCATCAACCAGTGTTTTTAATAGCCGCAGTGACCTCGGGGAACTGCGTCGGCGGTTCCATATATCGGGCATTTCGACTCCATTTGAGGACAAAGAGCCGAAGTCTTCTGCATCGGACAACAGTGCACCCTCTGCACCTTCATCTGCTACACAACAGAACGGCCTTCCAAGTATCTCCCACGGCGTCTGGGTCTTCGTTGACATTCAACTTTACCAGTTAGAGGAGAATAACTACATGGTTGATTTCAAATGTGATGGCTACCAGAATGTCATCCGTGCTCAGGGTGACACAGAATGGACTCCCATAAGCAAGCGTCTCAAGAACAAGGAGAAGGAGGTGACTAGCCCCTACCCTTTCCTAGATGTGGCATCCGATCTTGTGGCTCAGCTGGCTGTTGCCAGTTAAACATATATCTCTGGTGAATACTGACTGGAACGACGAATATGACATCTTCTCCATACTCACCCTCATAATCTTCATAATCTCTTTTTTTATCGATGTTTGTCCTTCCCAACTTCCCAATGGGATATTTTTGTACAGCAGGCAATCTGTGCTTCATGAGCGAATATGGGTTTGATACTTTCCCAGTGTACGAGTCTTCCATATGCATGAACATTATCTTTTACATTTCTGCTGCTCACTTATTCACTTATGGTCGTAGATCTACAATGACAATTTCCACAGAGGCAGGGACTACGAATCCAGGGCAACTCAATGGATATAGCATAGCATTCTGATTTACCATCTGACATATTTCAATTTTTTTTTCTCTTCTTTTTTGTACTTGGGGGTGTTTGGAGGGCAGGGGAAATAATGGACTGCAAAGATGAAACAAATGGGGTGTTTCGTCCAGCGCGTTCATTCCTCAGGTTCCTTTTCCTTCAACGATTAGGTTAATGATCGAAGTGGGAAGGCCAATTCAAATTAACGCATTGTATCAACGACGTCCACGACCTTTCCCTTTCGCGTCACTGGGCTTCTTGACTGAGCCTCGTGGGGTAACCCTAGTCACCATGGCCATATAGCTCTTGTCATTGCGTCGACGTTGACCCGCTGAGTTTCCTCGGTTCAACCCGGTCCGGCCAATCTCCTGACCATGCTCATCCTCATTTGAACCGACGCTCTCAGTCCCATCCAGAGAGGCAACGCTTGCCTCAACTTCGCTATCCTCTCTCTTGTTAGACTCTCCGTGCCGCGCGGAAGCCTTGATCCCCGCCTGCTCGCGCTGTCGCAATGCAGCATCAAGGACCCATGGCTTGAACGTAGGAAGTATCTCGATGTCTGGAAATCTTGCCCGGCTGCCTTGCTGGCGCTCAATGTCTTTCGAACTGCTTCTTGCTGGAAGCCAAGGACTCTTTTTTCCGGCCGAGGCGGTGTTGTCACCAGTGGAAATACCGAGAGATTCCTCAAGGGCCTTTTCCGCTTCACGCATTTCTATCATGTATTCATATGTCTTGTTGACAATTCCGCGAATTTCTGCGAAAGTCTTTCCGCGTCCCACGCAATTACGCAGCCACTCTGGAACAGGTGCAGTAATAGCTCTAGGGAGCTTCCGCCCACGCACGGTCAGATTTCGAGCAGTCGAGGGCTTTTTCCTAGCACGAGCAGAAGTCTTTCTTTGGTTGCTGGTGCGAGCGCGACTGGGGCCCGCACGACTTGGGCCAGCGGGGGTGGAACTGGTCGGCTGTTCCTCCTCCTCGACTCGCAGTATCTCACGACGCCGGAGTGTAATCTCGAAATTTTCGACCCCATCCCACTGCTCCATGCGGGAGAGTGATTCAAGGAGTAACTCACACTGCGTGAAAGGCCATTGATCGGCACGGTATCGGGCTCGTTGGTAATGCTTGCGGCAGTAGTGGACCCAGACAGCATCTGGGAAGAGCTTCGTCGAGGCCTTGTTCCGGCCAAAGAAATGGGAGACGACTTTGCGGAAGTGCATTCCGTCTGGGGACGGGCCCATGTGGCATGGGCGGGAGAACTCGCAGAGGGAGCTCTTGTTGCCATCGTTGTTGTGCTCGGTATCTTCATTGCCGTAGTCTTCAGGGCCGCTGCCGTCATCTTCATCGTTGCGGAGATTGATGTCGGTCTCGGTTCTTTCATCCCCGTCCTGGTTGGACTTTTGACGTGGTTTGAGGGGAGAACGGAATTCAGGGTCCGATTCTGTGCCTTGAGATGAAGTGCTGTTAGACATCTCATCATTGATTCCAGAATTTGCGACTTCAAAAGAGATGAACTTGTGAAGACTTAAATCATATCCCTCTTCCAGCTTTATTCCTTCGTTTTCATACAGGAATCGGGTCATCATGAATGGCATAGGCTGAATATGTAAAGGCTCAACAGGCGATGCAGCAGGAAATGCAACAGGTGGCTGAGCAGCCGAGCTGTTTTGCAAAGGGGAAGATGAAAGGGGATTACTACCGGCACTGCATGGATTGCACTTTTGCTTTTTGCTTGCTTGATCCGACACATGTTGAGAAGAGCCACGTTTTGCGAGTTGTCTCCCCTTTCTTGCCTCTGCGACGGCCTTGTCAATACCTACCCAGTCAACACGGTCAAAAGCAGCCCATTCAGACTGTAGCCCCAGGTTGACTTTCAAACTGTTTCCAGGTGACAGACGAGGATTCTCGTTCTGTGGAGGATTTGGCGGGCCTGCAGAGGCAGTATCAAACGGAGATGGATAACCAGATGGATCTCCAGGTCCCTGAGCAAGTTTTTCAGGCATCTTGGCCTCTGAAGAAGGAACAACTGCAAAGGGAATGCTTTACGAGAACAGAAAGGAAATCAATCGTTCGGATGAGGTTGAATGAGATGGCAAATGGATGCGATGAGGATGCTGGGTTGGTATTGATTCGGACAAAGTTATCAGGTGGGTTGTATGGTATAACGTCAAGGTCCCTAACCTGAAGGGACTATATTCGTTTCCATGCCGGTACTTTCCACTAACAGGCAGAAATCGTTTGTTTGCCTACTTGACGTGACATCACCCTAATTTAACCCTCTCTAGGTACCCTCCCTCGTCTTTTTTCTACTTTCAAGCCCAATATGACACTGACTACTGAAGTATGATAGTAGTTGCATTTTTAGATGTAGCTGAAATGGAGCCGACTACTGACTTCTTTGATAAGATATTCCGAATAGTTTTAACACACTGTCTTAATGGTGTTGACTCAGAGTAGAAACATGAGCCGCAACGCCTAATCTAAACCAGTTGCAGTTTAGCTAGTAATATTTGCAGTTTAGGTAGTGACTCGCTCGCAACTGCAACTTTTCACGAGGTTACTACTTTGCTTAAGGAAAACGAACTCTCGTTTTGATCCTTTATGTCTCTACGATCCTACACGTACCACTTTTTCTCGATAATCTGTTCCCCAATGCCCTCCATTATCACGGCCATAGATATGAACCTTACGGATATGAAGATCGTCTGCTTCTCAAAAATCTCCCCCGATGACAGGAACTTTTTAGTCCCACAGGGAATTTCAAACAATTCTTCTGGCATGTCTGAAGTCCCGGTACTGGAGAAAATTCTGACCAACTTGTCTGATTCGTCTGATGGTCCAGTACAGAAGGCTGACCGTGGAGAATTACCCGATGGGCTTGATGAGCCAATTACGAAAGTCGAGCTCGTTGACCTTTCTGGCAAGATTGGCACATGGAAATCCAACGCCCTCGTGGTACATAATGAATCTCTTTTCTCCACCGCCGGCAGATATGCCAATTGTGTCGACAATGACACACAAAGCTCTTCCTCGAGCAGAGCTGCTAGTCGCCCATTTACTCAACATTTCCGCAGCGAGCTGGTAAGAAATCTAGCATTTACAATTGATAATGTTTAACGTACTACAATCCCACAGCCCGACCTGACTAACTTGGTTCACCTTGCAAGAAACCAACACAGGGAAGTTGTTCACCCCATTCGGGAACCGCGGCGCCTCCTACTTGCACAGATGGGTGTAGATTGCCTCCAAATGCTTGGCTCGCCGTTCTCAGGCCCTCCTGTCGTCCAAATCAGAGGACAAACTGTGATGACGCCACAAAGAGTAGATTCACAGCGGCGAATGGCTAATGTGGAGGCCAGGGGCTTACAAGCCTGGAGTCATCTGGGACTGTCTGAGGGGAACTCACCAACTCTGCGGCAGGGACGGGCTATGCATACCCTACTGGACTCGAGACAGGCCCTTGTTCACAGATACTCCCAGTCCGCCCCTCCTGATATTGCTGTATATGCTGATCTGTACCATCTCTTTCCAAAATAAAGACTAATTCGGTGCAGCGGCCTGCCATCCTACAGAGAGCGAGAATGCCTTCTGGACTACCATTGCGAAGACAACACATTCGAGTATCTCCGGGACTCCCATTGCGCTCATTCAGCCAGGCGCACTCCTTGAGGTGCCCAGCATCACTGTTATGAATATCCGGCTTTTTACCGAGAGACTGCTAATGCTTTGTTATCTAAATAGGGATCCATCTCGAGTCTTCGGAACGGTACACCGCCGGTTCGACCAGTAGGTACTCTACCGCGTGTTCCTTCCATCTCATCGTCCTGTTCTTTTTCTGCATCTAGCATGTCCGGTTCTTTTTCGTTTACACACGTTCATGCTGCCAACAGTGATCATGATGAGGCGTGAGTGGGATGCTCCTACTACATGATGGTACGCACGAAATGGTCATGATCTTAGCATGATTTTAGTGTTTGCTTTCAATTTGTGCATGTGCAACGGGCCCAAGGGAACACTTCTTTTAGCTAGGTAGTTACTCATAAAAAAGCGATAAAGCCTTAAAAGACCAACTAATATGGACGGGAACTACAGGTCGACTTCTTAAGTAGAAAACCTGTCTCCGAAGGCTGGGGTTCTAAAGGTTATGTTTCCTTTCGCATCTCTGATGTGTTCCATCAATTTCAACATTGGCATACCTAGTGTCACATCCAGAGACACACTCATCAGTAACACTCAAGTGGCTGTGAGATTAACGTTTAGAAAGAGCGCTAAAGATCTTATGCTTCGGGAACGAAACGCACGGACCGTTTCTTAAATCTGCTGCTGTCACCGCCGAATGACCGCGATTTCGATGGAGAACCGTGAACGCGTCCCGTTGACATGATATCAGCAGTACAAACAGTTTCGGTATCACCAAGAGATATGCAGTCATTATATTAGATGTCCATGATTATGCAGCAACTCAACCACCTCATAATTGTTTGTTGTCATGCCATCTATGCTGGAGGCCCAAAACACGGATTATCCGAAGACGAATGGTCAGTCACCGCTAAAAGTCATGCATCAATCTCTAGGATGTCCACTAATGCTTTGAAAAAAAAACTCCAGGTTTATTGAGTCTTTTCAGAAGGGAGAGACTCCGACTTTTGTTAGTCATGCGAAGGCTGGACTGAAAGCATTGTCAGAGGATCCTCGAGCATTGCTTGTCTTCTCGGGGTAAGTGCATGCTACTAATCTGAATTGCGTTCTTGTTGCAAAGCTATGCAAAGCGCAGCTCTTGCAAATCGTGCATCACAGACTAAGGTGACCTGCAACAAATTGCAATACATTGCCTGTTGCAAATTGTGGCGTCTCACGCATGGCTTATTGACTGTTTCTGCAGGGGCGCAACAAAGAAGTCGAGAACAGACTTCAGTGAGGGACAATCGTATCTTGTGAGTTATCTTGACCACTGAAGAAGAACCGGCTAATGAGTATTCCCACCACAGAAACTCGCTCAAGAGAACAACTATTTTCACGACCCGGTAGCAATCACGAAGGCTTACACATCAAGGATCATAGCAGAGGACCTCGCTACTGATTCCTATCAAAATGTACTGTTTTCGCTACTGCGCTTTCGATTAGACACTGGAGTCTACCCGCAACGCGTTACCGTCGTGACCCATGAGTTCAAGAGGGCCCGTTTCATGGAGTGCCATTTTCCTGCCTTGGGATTGCTTCCTCGAATCAACGGCAGACATGCAGAAACTAGTGCGGTTTCTGTGATTGGGATAAACCCGCCAGAGGAAGTCACTCCCCTGGAATCATTGGTGCGTGGTGAAGCGGGCAAAGGCATTGGGCTCTGGAGACAAGATTTATATGGAGTTGGCGAGGACTTGGCCGGCAAGCGACATCAGAGAGGCTGGAATTCGGGAATGGAAACTGAAGCCTTCGTCAATGTCGGCCTTGAAGAGGTCGTCGAGCAATTGGCTTGCTGGCATGGCGGGGCCGGTAATGAATGGTTCCCAAGGATGGAAGAACTGCCCTGGTTCTACGGTAACCGAGCAAGATAAGTAAAACAAGGATTATGGACATAATGCAGTATTTATTAAGGCATAATATCTCCTGATGTGATACGTAAAAATCAACGTGTTCCCTCCAAACGCCAATGCATAGAGCACCCCTCGTGGATATTCATAATAGAACTTCGAATTCTTAGTCTGCCATCCGGTAGCTAACCATTGTACCCACCCGGTGGTTATTGGTACTGAAGCTGCGTAGCTGGACCTTCTCCGCATTCTTGATTTCCTTTGCGTCGCTGTCACCCCACTCCACAGGAACATCTGAGTCAGCGTCGGCATACACCAGAACGTTGAATGTGCAGTCCCCATCAAGGACAGGGAGGAAGGTAACCGAAGCGGTAATCTGGCGGAAGATGGCCTGGATCTCATCTTGGATCTCCTTTTCGGTCTTTTCGACGGGCTCAGCAGCCTGAGCACTGGCATCGCTGTAAATTAAAGAGTAGCCAAGTTAGCAATGCCATGTCGGACGAACCAGGCTGGGACTTGAAAGACTTACCTAGGAGCCGCATTCTCTTTATCACCTGATTTTCCGGCACTCTTGCTCTTTGAGGATTTGCCAAAAACCTCAACCTGTAGCCGACATGTCAGAAAAGCCTGTGGGCAGCAATTGTGGTCCTCAGTACGTACATCAAATTGCCATCGCTCTACATGTTCTCCAGTGTCCCGATCAGTGATGACCACTACCAGCTTTGAGATCTTTCCACCGGCCATCCACCTGTTCAGTTGCGACATGATCTTCTTGATGTACGCCTTCACTTGGTCGTCCGCGGAAACTTTCATGGGTCAGAATGGGAGGCGGGTGGGGATCGGAGGGACATAGGCAGGAGGTACGAACCAAGCATGTTGAGGCCATATTTCTTGACACTATCGTGGGTCAGATTTTTGAATGCATTGGGAAAGCATCAGGGCAGGACTCACGTTATAAAATCGTCGGGAGGGTAAACAGCACGTTGGAATCTGCAATGGCGGTTTCAATGAGCCTCTGGTAACGTGTCCCCGTAGGAATTCATTCAAAGCTCACAGGATAGAGTTAATCGAGTACTCAAACTATGTCACTGTTAGTACTGAACAATTATCTATGATAAAGGCATGGCACTCACGAATTCGGCCACAAGCTTCGCCGACCCTACGCATTGGCTTTGTGAGCTTGTCGATACCAAGAATGCACGATAAATTCCAATTACCTACCCTTGATGACCAGCTTGTGCACCTTGGACTTGTCTTTAGCTTCAGGCATGTTGAGCAGAGTCTGTTGAACGAGAAAAATGGTAACAAAGTGGAAGACAGCTGGAGGGAGGGTTTGTTTATGCCGATAGTCGATAGTCACCGCAGCGATCGCAGTCACCGCCCGCGCCCGTTTTTTTACTTCTCTCCGCAAGTCAACGATTTCGCCGCAAACTCCGAGACAATAATCCGAGTCGCCTCCGTTGGACCTTGACTATCTACCCAGGCGATCGTCCCAATTCCATGCCACTGCACGAATCCCGATGCGAGGATGTCTGCAGGTAGCCCGATGGCTGAGCGCAGCACGGAAACCTTCGGCTGCGAGCCTCAAGTCGCTGGCTGGACTTTCATCCCGCTATAATTCCCTACGATCCTTCACATCCTCCGCGGCCTGGAATGCTCGATCAAAGTCAAGCTCTAGCTCTCCAGATACAGACCTCGAGCGACGAATCGCGGCCATCCCCCTCGATCGATACCGCAACTTTTGTATTGTCGCGCACGTCGATCATGGAAAGAGCACCCTTTCCGACCGATTACTCGAGCTTACCGGCACCATTAAGCCGGGTCAGAACAAGCAGGTGCTAGATAAACTTGATGTTGAGCGGGAACGGGGAATCACAGTCAAAGCGCAGACATGCACGATGATCTACAATCACAAGGGCGACGATTACTTGCTGCACCTGGTAGATACACCAGGCCATGTGGATTTCCGTGCAGAGGTGTCGCGTAGTTATGCCAGTTGCGGTGGTGCTTTACTTTTGGTGGATGCTAGCCAGGGTATTCAAGCGCAGACAGTGGCCAATTTCTACTTGGCTTTCGCACAGGGCCTTGAGTTAATCCCTGTCATCAACAAAGTCGACCTGCCGTCGGCAGATCCAGAGCGGGCTCTGGAACAGTTGAGAAACTCATTTGAGCTGGATACCGAAAATACCGTCTTGGTTTCTGCCAAGACTGGATTGAATATCGAGGCTATTCTTCCCACAGTAGTTGATAAGATTCCTGCGTACGAAACCCCTGCCTATATGGTCAGATCGTTGAATACTAATGATGCTCGATAGGCCCATCGGCGACACACAGAGACCTCTTCGTATGTTGCTGGTCGACTCTTGGTATGATTCTTATAAGGGCGTGATTCTTTTGGTGCGCATTTTCGATGGCGAGGTGCGTGCCGGTATGCAGCTGGTATCATTTGCCACGGGGCTGAAATACTACGTTGGTGAAGTCGGAATTATGTATCCGACAGAGACACCTCAAACAGTCCTCCGTGCAGGTCAAGTCGGATACATTTACTTCAATCCCGGAATGAAAATTAGCAAGGAAGCTAAGATCGGTGACACGCTGGCTCGAGTGGGCCAGGAGAAGCAAGTCGAAGCCTTGCCGGGTTTTGAAGAGCCGAAGTCGATGGTTTTTGTGGCTGTGTATCCTGTCAATGCTGATCTTTTCGAGCATTTGGATGACAGCATCAACCAGCTCGTACTGAATGACCGAAGTGTGACAGCCCAAAAAGAGTCTTCCGAGGCATTGGGAGCTGGATTCCGCATGGGCTTCTTGGGCACTCTTCACTGCTCTGTTTTCGAAGACCGTCTGCGTCAGGAGCACGGTGCCAGTATCATCATCACACCTCCTTCCGTTCCCGTCAAGGTCGTATGGAAGGACGGCACCGAAGAAATCATTACCAACCCGGCAAAGTTTCCGGATGATGACAGTCTACGGCTCAAGGTCGCTGAGGTGCAGGAGCCCTACGTCTTGGCAACATTGACTTTCCCTGACGAGTACTTGGGAAAGGTTATCGAGCTTTGTGAAGCCAATCGAGGTGAGCAACAAAGCATCGAATACTTCACCGCAAGCCAGGTCATCATGAAGTATGAACTTCCCTTGGCACATCTTGTGGACGACTTCTTTGGAAAGCTTAAGGGAGGCACCAAGGGCTATGCCAGTCTGGATTATGAGGAATCTGCTTGGCGAGCAGGAAATATTGTTAAACTCCAGCTTCTGGTAAACAAAGTTCCTGTAGATGCCGTGTCACGACTCATGCATATGAGCCAGGTCAGCCGCCAAGGAAGACAGTGGGTGACCAAGTTCAAAGAGCACGTTGATCGGCAATTGTTTGAGATTGTGATTCAGGCTGCTGTTGGCAAAAAGATCATTGCTCGTGAGACCATCAAGCCTTACCGTAAGGATGTCTTGGCCAAATTGCATGCCAGTGATGTTAGTCGGCGGCGAAAACTGCTAGAGAAACAGAAGGAGGGCCGCAAGAGGCTCCGTGCAGTTGGAAATGTGGTGATCGATCACAAGGCATTCCAGGCATTCCTGTCGAAATAATCACCTGTATATTAGAAACAATTATACCTGTACACAAGAGACCAAATCCTTCCTTATTTGGCCATATGTACATTCCAGAGGTCAATTTAAACATATGACCTGACAACTTTCACCCAGAAATCATGAATATTGAGCTTACAAAAGAGAAATCAGGAATAGGCAGAAATGAGTGTTTGTAATATCGCAGCCAAGCGATGCCTCGTTGTTTGATGCTCTATACTTCTGGGGTTCCACTTGAGGTTGTGCTATTGGTCCAGCGGTGAGAGCTTTGCGGCAGAAAAAAAGTGTTCGTCGCCAACCCCGCGGTCCATTCTGATTCCTCTTCCTCTCTTCATCGCCATTCCTCTCCCAAACCGATTCTTCAGGAATTTTGGCCTCGAAATTGACTCGCGCAGGTTTCTTAAGCAGCATTACACGTCCGATTCGTCCCGCGGGTCTTCTGCACCGGAGATTGCGGCTGACACCCGCACGCGCCGATCAAATCATCCTTGAGTCACCCTGCCATGCTCTCACTTTGACAACGGCGCGATGCAGCCCTCGGAGGATGCGCAGATTGATCTGGGCAAGGCCCAGGTCATTGACCGTACCCCTAAAATTATCAAAGAACTAAAGTTCGGTGTATTGTATGGGTTTCCTGTTTTTGCTGAGCTACAGTACTCTTTGCGCGGAATGCGATAACTAACAAAATCGTTCACCCCTCCAGGACAAAAAATGATATTGTTGAGCAAGCTGCGGTGGAAGTTTCGGACAGAAAGTTTTTCGACCTCGAAAATGGCAGAAAGGTGGTTTCCAATGGTCCTCTCGATACACGCATGGGTATTTCAGGCAAAGTTGCAACCTGTGCGACTTGCGGACTGAATTCGAAGGATTGCAATGGTCATTTTGGCCATGTACGACTAGTTCTACCGGCTTTCCACGTCGGTTACTTCAAGAGGGTGATCGGCATCCTGCAGGAAATTTGCAAAGAATGCTCACGCATCCTCCTCCCGGAGAACGAGCGCCGATCTTTCCTACGAGAAATGAGACGTCCTGGTCTGGATAACTTGCGGCGAATGCAGATTGCGAAGCGAATCAACGAACGATGCCGGAAAACTCGGCAGTGCGAGCACTGCAACGCGATAAATGGTGTGGTGAAGAAGATCGGCACGAGTGCACTGAAAATTACCCACGACAAGTTCCGTGCATTCAACGCCTCAACTTCCGTCAAGAAGCAGCCACCACTCAGCAAGACCGTCTTTGATGATTCCTTTGCCGAGGTGCGAAATTCAAATACCGAGGTCGAAAAACATTTCAAGAAAGCCCAGGATGATTTGAATGCCTTGCGCGTGCTCAAGTTGTTCAAGAAGATCTCGGACAGTGATTGCGAGCTTCTGGGATTAGATCCCAAAGAGGCTCGACCGGAGATGTTCTTATGGCAGTTCATCCCGGCCCCGCCCGTTTGTATCAGACCGTCTGTGATTCAAGAAGCAGCATCTACCGAAGATGATTTGACTGCGAAGTTGGGTGATATCGTGCAGAGTAACATCAACCTCAAGAATTCCTTGCTCAAGGGAGCTCCTGTTCAAACTATCATGGAATGCTGGGACTACATGCAGCTCCAGATTGCAGTCTACATCAACAGCGATGTGCCTGGTCTCAACAAAGCGGATCTTGGAAAACCCATTCGCGGATTTGTCCAACGATTGAAGGGAAAACAGGGTCGATTTCGTGGTAATCTGTCCGGAAAGCGTGTTGAGTACACCGGTCGAACGGTCATTTCGCCCGATCCTAATCTACGGGTCGATGAGGTTGCTATTCCGGAGCTGGTTGCCAAAAACTTGACCTATCCTGAGGTGGTTACCCGATACAACAAGGAAAAACTGCAAGCCGTGGTGCGTAATGGAACGAACAAATACCCCGGAGCGAGATACTTGATTAAGAAGGGCTCTATCTGGCAAACGAACTTGAAGTACGGTAATTTGAATCATATGGCCAATCAACTCCAAGAGGGTGATGTGGTCGAACGTCACCTTGAAGACGGTGATATTGTACTGTTCAATCGGCAACCGTCCCTCCACAAACTCAGTATTCTCTCTCACTTTGCCAAAGTCCGACCGCATCGGACATTTCGACTGAACGAATGTGTTTGCAACCCCTACAATGCCGATTTTGACGGAGATGAGATGAATTTGCACGTCCCACAAACCGAAGAGGCGAGAGCAGAAGCAATGGAGTTGATGGGAGTCAAGAATAACTTGGCCACACCCAAAAACGGTGAACCCATCATTGGTGCCATTCAGGATTTCATCAGTGCCGCTTTCTTGCTAAGCAGCAAAGATAATTTCTACGATCGTCGCTCTTTCACTCAAATTTGTCTCTACATGTTGGGCCCTGAGACACGATTCGACCTGCCACCGCCATCAGTCATGAAGCCACAAATGCTCTGGACTGGAAAGCAAGTTTTTAACATCTTGATGCATCCCAACAAAGATGATCCTGTTCTGGTCAACCTTGATGCGGCGTGCCGACAGTTCAAGCAGCCAAAGGATGGAAGACCCAAAGACTTGGATCCGAACGATGCTTGGCTAGTGATTCGCAACTCCGAAGTCATGTGTGGTGTCATGGATAAATCCACGGTCGGTGACGGTAAGAAGGACAATGTGTTCTACATTATGCTTCGAGATTATGGACCTGCCGCAGCCGCCCAGGGTATGAACCGCCTGTCCAAGTTGTCAGCCCGCTGGCTCACCAATCTTGGCTTCTCTATTGGTATCACGGATGTGTGGCCCAGCGAGAGGCTTGTTCGGTCCAAGAATGACCTAGTCGAAGCAGCTTACGCCGCTTGTGACGAAGTCATTGCTAAATTCAAAGCTGGCACTTTGGAGAAGTATCCTGGTTGTGACGAGTTGCAAACCATGGAAAACCAGCTGTCTGGTATTCTCAGTAAAGTTCGTCAGCAAGCTGGTGACGAGTGTATTGCACAGCTCAGCAAATACAACTCCCCCCTGATCATGGCCACTTCCGGATCGAAGGGTTCTAGTATCAACGTTTCCCAGATGGTCGCGCTCGTGGGTCAACAGATTATCGGCGGTTCCCGTGTTCTGGATGGTTTCCAGGATCGTACTCTACCTCATTTCCCGAAGAATGCACGTCAGCCTCCTTCGAAGGGTTTCGTTCGCAACAGTTTCTTCTCGGGTCTTCTGCCTACCGAGTTCATTTTCCACGCAATGTCTGGTCGTGAAGGTCTGGTCGATACTGCTGTCAAAACGGCCGAGACCGGTTACATGTCTCGTCGTTTGATGAAGTCTCTTGAGGATCTCTCAACTATGTACGATGACACCGTACGAAACTCCTCCGCAGCTATTGTGCAGTTCCAATATGGTGACGATAAGTTGGATCCCTTGGATATGGAAGGTAAAGCCAGACCTGTCCACTTCGAGCGTACCTTCATCCACTCCGAGTCAACTACATACAATAATTATGAGCGAAGTTTGCTGCCAGCGGAGATCTTGGAAGTCTGCGAAGAGATGCTTGGTGCAGAGCGCGCCAGACTGGTGCGCAGGGATCTCTTGGGCAATGAGCTGGGCTACATGGATCGCAGTGACCATGGAGTCGATCAGCTTGAGAGCGCGCGTGATTTCCTTGACTCCATTCAGGAGTATGTGGAAGGCAAGGCCGAAAAGCTGATCAACCTTGGTGGCGACGTCGGTTCGATTGAGGAAGGCAGCCGGCAGGGCTTAGATCATACCGGAAAGCTGACCGAGACCACTCTGCGCGCTTTCATCACTTCTTGCCTTACGAAATATCGGAGAGCTCAGGTTGAGCCTGGTCATGCTGTGGGTGCTGTTGGAGCTCAGTCTATTGGTGAGCCGGGTACTCAGATGACCCTTAAGACTTTCCATTTCGCTGGTGTCGCTGGTATGAGTATCACGCAGGGTGTGCCTCGTATCAAGGAAATCATCAACGCTTCCAAGGAAATCAGTACTCCTGTCATCGCCTGTGAACTGGTCAACAAAGAACACATGGCTGCAGCACGTATTGTCAAGGGTCGCATCGAAAAGACCTACCTGCGTGATATTATGCGATCTATCACCGAAAACTGGACCGGAAGCTATGCTTATGTGACCATCAAGATCAACCTCCAGACAATCTCCGATCTAAAGCTCGAGCTAGATGTGAGGAAAATTGCTCAGGCGATCAAAACCCACAAGCGCTTCAAGGGTTCGGATCTCACATTCCGCGTTGGCACGTCTTCCATTCGCATTTTCATGGATATGGATCCGGCCAGCAAGACAGGTCTGTCGAAGACTGAGGTCGCCGCCACGAGCATGGACCCCTTCCTGCGTCTTAAGCACCTTAAGCGACTGTTGCCCGATATCCAGATTCTTGGACATGCCCGTGCTCAACGTGCCATCATTCGAACAGATGAGACTTCCACCTCCAACACCCTATTGGTGGAAGGATACGGCTTGAAAGAATGCATGACGACCGTAGGTGTGGATGGCCTCCGCACAAGAACCAACAACGTCATGGAAGCGCGCGAGGTCCTCGGCATTGAGGCAGCACGAACCACAATCGTTGTCGAAATTAGTGAAGTCATGAAGGACATGAACATTGATCCTCGTCACATGCAACTGCTGGCTGATGTTATGACGTACAAGGGTGAGGTGCTTGGTATTACTCGGTTTGGTCTGGCCAAGATGCGTGACTCTGTCCTTCAACTCGCCTCCTTCGAGAAAACTGCAGACCATCTCTTTGATGCCGGTGGTGCTGGTCGTACTGATCTGATTGAAGGTGTCTCGGAATGTATTATTATGGGCAAGACTATCGGGCTGGGAACCGGTGCCATGGAAGTCGTCCGCAAGCTGAACTTCTACGAAGGCCAGATCGGCCCACGAAAGACTGTCTTTGAAGACGCCTGGACCGAGCTGTGTGAAGTACCTCAGGCGAGGAAGGGCAAGAAACGGGTCAGGTAGTGGCAAGATCTTGTCATTAACTATCTCCCTTTCTATCCTTGATATCTTGGTGGCCACTTTCATCCGCATTATTCTCGGCGTTGGAATGTTTGCTTTTCTGCCCATCTGCAGCCTTTGGGCACGACTCTGTACATGTACTCCCAGTGCCGCCAATTGGCGCCTGTTTTATGCACGTTAGCGAATAGTAACGATCTGCAATCGACTTTTGCCAAGCATCATTAGCTTTTTTTTTGGCTTCTCCTGTAGCTTTCACACTTTAGAGACCATCAGTCGCTTTTTGAGGAAATACTAAATGGCACAATAGCAGCGCGCCTCACTATTGCTTTTATCTCGATATGCCTATATTTGCAGTATGATGCTTGCTCGTTATTGGACCTGTCATCCCGGGGTAGCCGGAGCTCGACGCCGCATGATGAGCAATTGCAGCTTTACAACAGCACATCCCTGCACGTACATGACATACACTTTTCCTCATTCGCTGGCCTCCAGTGAGGCACTGCGCTGACGGCGGAGGTCTATCGATTGGCCACGTTCCTCCTGCATCAAACCGGCAGCAGTTCCCGAATCCATGCTTTCCACCAACTTTGGGGGCGTGTCGAGGGGCGATCAGGTCATAATCGCACGCCAATCAGGTACCACAGTAACCCTGGTCCGAACATGGGGGGTTGCAGGCATCGACCCTCGAGTTCTTTGTTCGGGACGAACACCCTAATCCTCATCGGTCAAGATTCGCCGGGCCACCCTCGACATCACCGCTTCCTTGTTTCCCTAGTAGCCTTTTTGAATATTGCGTAGGTCTTGACACTTCTCTCTAAATTCCTCTAATTGCGGATTTTTCGTCCCACTGGTTGCACTTGATTGTTGTTTTTCTCGAACCAAGCTCCCCGAGGCTCCCCGAAGTTCTCAGGGCCAGATCTTGCCTCTACTGAAAGGAAGCTTAATATACCCCGGACCGAGAATCATGGACCTTGCCGATTCAAGATTTACAAAGAAGCGTGAAAGTCGGACACGCGCCCCGACGGCCTGTCAGACATGTCGTCTACGCAAGACCCGGTGCGACAATACGAGGCCCACCTGTAGCTATTGTGCTCTGCAGGGGGTGGATTGCATCTATCCCGAGACGTCCCCACGCTCTAGCCAGTAAGTCAAGTGGCTTGGGTATTCTTTTCGTTGGGCCTTGCAAAATGGCCTTGTGAAAGCAAGTCCGAGACTGAAACATTTGCTCCTGTCCTGTAGATCTGGGTACGATCCGTCCAATCAGGAGATACTGCAACAATTGAATCATATTTCCTCACTGCTGGAAGATATCAAGAGTGACAGTTTGTCAGCTGGTTCCTCGACTCGTTCCCTCCGAGGCTCCTTGCTCGAATTGACTACCCAAAACCCCAGTCCGCTGACTGATATGGGGCTTCAGGGTATCCAGAATTCCCGCGGCAGTAGCTCCAATGATGATTATCGCGCTTGTGAGCACGATCCTGACATACTGTATGCAGCCAGTTCGGCGGAGCTCATGCTCCGTTGGCCGATTTATGATAGGCTTATCACAGATGCGGAGAGGCACATTCGATCCTTTTTGCTCGATCATCTGGATTCTCATTCTCAATCGGGTGTCCTGCCACCCCAGACGTTGGGTATTGGCCCCCTTGTGGATGGTATACAGCCACTATGTCGGAAATACCTCCGGTTAGTGCATCGGCGGAATCCCGTAGTGGATATAGACAAGCTCGAGCGCTATGCCCGCGAGGTGACCACACAGGGATTAGGGTGGGACGGTCCAGCTTGTCTAGTGGTACGTTGAATTATTCGACCTCTATTTTCTTTGTCTTTTGATAAGGGACTAATATCTTGAGTAGCTTCTCGTGTGCGCTTTAGCCTGTTCTACATCTACATTTATACCTCTGGGGGACATACCCGAAGATCTAGACCGCATTCCTGGACCGCCTCCTTCTGATGCTGATATTGGCCGTGCAGAGGCCTACTTCCACGCTGCAAAGCAGCGGTTCGGATCATTGCATGCATCTCCCACGGATATTCAGTGCTTTCTTTTAGCTGGATTTTACCACAGGCATGTTATGCGTCCGTTAGAATCGTGGTTCTGCTTTCAGCAAGCATCATGCAGACTAGAAGTTCGACTGCGGTCATTGTGTAGAGAGCGGTGGCGAGTAGATGCCAATTACCATAACTTGGAGTCTAGGCTATATTGGTCTTGTATTCAAGCTGAATAGTAAGTACTCTGACGTGAGCACTCTGACGTGAGCACCAGTACTCATACACTGATTACCATCCAAAGTGAAATACAATGCGAGTTACCTCTGTGGAGTAGTCGCCTTGAAAGATTGGGATTCTCAGAGTCATTCCCAAGGTTCCCGACATATCCATCTTCCCCGGGGCAGAAGGAAGGTGACAATGAAGCCCATATCGATCTGTTAGGGGATCACAATGACACCGATGAGGAAAGAGGTTGGAGGTTCTACATTGGAACTATTTTTAATCGTCGCACCGTCAATGACATGTTAGTAGATATGTGGCGGAATGGGGAGGATGGATGGATAAACAACGTCAGCGGCATTGTCGAACGGACCTCCGAGGCTGTGAAGGTAGTCACAACCTGGTATAAATTTCCTTTCCCACCTTGCCTATCTTCCGTTTGACTGCTTATTCGCTAATACAACAAAGGCATCAAATGTGCCAAAATAGCCTCCCGCCCCCATCCATAGCCAACCAAGACCTTGAATTCTTCCTTCTAGGTCGCTACCATATCGCATGTGAGAAGATCTACCGGCCAGTCCTCTACCTCGCAATCCACTTCCAATCTCTCCCACGTTGGGTGCAAGCGACTCCTCAAATCGCCGAAGCGGTGTTCAGTCAAGCCCAAAGAGCAATTGACAACTGCGTTGTTCTCCTCCCAAACTGCTGGTATCATTTTCGCCACGAATGGATCCATAATGTCGTGCGCGCTGTGTTTGCTTGCTCCATCCAGCTTCTTAGTTCTGTGCTGAGCAATGTGGCTATTTCGCGGAACCCGAATCCTGGAGGTTGGGCTTTGAGACCACCTGGAAACTGGGATGCACTTGTGCGGCTTGGCATTCGGATTTTGAAGTTCTGGGAACGTGAGTCTGTGGATGTGGAGATCATGAGGTCGATGTTAGAGAGGATGTACCAAGGGACTTATCGGTTGGCTGGGATCAGGTAGGATTGTTTTCAGGGGTGATGTCTTTCTAATGACTTTTGTGTCGATTATTCATCTCAATGATGTTGGTCTTATTTCCTTATCACCTTGGTTGTGGATCTATGTATTCTTCCAAGCTGTTAACGCCCGTTATGCCCAGGCTGGGGAATTTGATTATGTCTAGAAGGTTGATAGGAGTATTCTGGTCAATACAAATGTACGGATGTATGTACACATAGCATGATTTTACCCATGACTACTTCGTAAATAAATCAAGCTAGAGAGTCATTAGGCGTTTCTTCTACAACCCGTAGATCTATGTATTTTCGAGACTTGGGAGCATGACACTGTCTGCAACCTTGGAAATGCGCCGAATTGTACATATAAAAGCATAGCTTCTATTTCTCGGGTCAGGTACCAAAATCAAAAAGAGTATGCTCTCGATTGGCAACAATGATCTCTTCGACGCAGCTCAAAAGACTTAGAATTATATTTGTGGTGCAGGTCTGTATTGTGTCATGGCGGAACCTTGGCAGCGAGCCAAGGCAGCTGCGGGGAAGCGGTGCGGAGGACAACCGCGAATCTCATCCATTCCACCATCCCAGCCTTCGACATGGCGGTCCCTCAGCGGACGCTCAACTGGCTGTATTCAGCCCTAACCAAGGTAAGTAGCTTCTCGAGGTCTCACAAAGGCGATCTAATGCTTTATTAGGATCACTACGACCCCAAACAGACCTACCACGACCCTAATCGAGCCTATCACGATGTTGTCAATGCGCTCGCTCAGTACCCCTCGCTCTCCCCCCGTACCGATGTCTATAGTGAGTGACGTTCAATTCCACGATTGACTGTGCATTCTAACAAACTCCACCCCTAAGCCTACGAGAATGGCTTCTCTGCACTCCTCCTCCACCTTGTGGGCACGCTGCCTGCTGTCTTCCGGGGGACAACATACCGCTTCCCTGTCGCTGTCTGGATCCCGAATACGTACCCCCGCGAGCCCCCAATGGTGTATGTGACACCGCCTCAAGATATGACAGTCCGTGTTGGTCAACACGTCACATTGGAGGGGCGGGTGTATCATCACTATCTCGCGCATTGGGCTGAAGCCTGGGATGTAAGCAATTGCGCTCCGCCTACTGAACAGTGAACATTTGTTAATGTGTCGCATATAACAGAAATCAACACTCGTCGACTTCCTTTCCATTCTCCGTGATGTGTTCGCCAAGGAGCCTCCGGTTCGCTATCGCCAGCAGATGCCACCTCAGCAGCCCCAACAGCCGCAGATACAATCTCCCCCGCCAGTGCCACCTCTCCCACCTGGTATGGCGCCCTCGCCAGCTGCGGTCCAGGCACAATCTCTTCGTCCAACAGCTCAATCCCAAACCCCTCCACAGCTCCCTCCCAAACCGGGGTCGACTGCCGCGCATCAACAATCGCCAGCCCAGTTGGCAGACCGGTACCGATCCCCCCCACCGCTGCCACCGCTGCCTCCAAAGGAATATGACCCCAGACGAGGTTCGTCAATTCTCAAGGGCGTATCAGGCTCTGGAAGCCTGGTCCCTCAGCAGTATGCGCCATCGCAATACCCAGCTGCGCAAGCTACGGGACACCCTATGTCTCCGTTGCCCCAGAGCCCAACATATAATAGAAATGCCGGTTTCAATGGACCTCAACAACCGCCCTATGCTCGTCAAACTGGGCCACAAGGCCCTCAGGCCCCGCCGATTCCTCAGCAAGCTCCTCTTCAGCACCCTTCCCAAGCATCACAGTCTCAATACCCAGGTTATCAACCTCATCGCCCTCTCTCACAACAGCAACCACCACCGTCTGGGCCCCCATACCCGCAAAACTCTCCTTATCCATCGAATTACCCACATCCACCTCCGGCAGCACCTGCTCCAAAGACCGAGGCACCAGACCTTCTTACGTCTCCATTCGAAATAGGGCTCCCATCATTTGCACCCACAGGACCAGCTCCTCCAATCCCACCAAACCCCGAAAAAGATGCTCTTCTACAGGCTATCTCCAGGACATTGGCCGAGACTTTAGCAACCCAAGCCACGCAGTCTGATGCAGCAACTCACTCCCTGGTCTCGCAATCCCACTCCCTCCATGCGGCAATGGCAACCCTGCAAAACGAAGTCTCCGCCCTCAACGCCTTGCAAGCAACCCTCCAATCCAACACCACTATCCTCCAACAGTCTATTCATCGTGCAGATGCCACGATTGCAGGTGCCCAGGCCCGCTCGGTATCATCCGCTACCCCGTCAACATCTACTGCCGCCGGACTTTCAGATCCTCCATCCGGCCTCCCGCCCATCGACGAGGTCTTGGTTGCCCCCACGGTCGTCGGGAAACAGCTTTATGATCTCGTTGCAGAGGAACAAGGTCTCCAGCACGCACTTTATGCGCTGCAGGCTGCTCTCGTACGTGGTGTTATCGGGGTGGATTCTTGGTCTCGTCAAACTCGCGGTCTTGCGCGTGAGGCTTTCTTGAAGCGGGCACTGATCACTAAGATTGGACGTGGAATGGGATTGGAGACTTCTGTATCATGATGAAGCCCTTTCTTTGTGAATAATTTGGGGAAGCTCTGTAGATACCCCTTTTGGAATTTTTTACACCGGCTATATCATTCATGCCAACATGAGATAGGTGTAGGCTATTTAATTCTATACCACTGCTCATACTGCTTCTCCCTCTGCTTCTGATCTTACAAACAAGAAGTTAAGCGTAGCTCAAGTTTGGATTCTATGTGTATTGTCTATTTTCTTTGTTCATTCCCATAATAATCGAAGTATTCTACTCACTTCTGACCTTTCCCTAGTGACCCGATGAGGTTCTTCGAATTCAAGTGCCTCAATCTCCTCCAATCCCAATGTTAAATCAATGTCTTCGGCTTTGATCATCCAAGCATCTTCCCAGTGCAACAAACGATGAACAATATAAAAGGCCAAAAACACAAAAATCCCAAAATATGCGACCAAGAAGTCGGTTGTAGACCAATGTCCCGGAAAGAAAACATAGAATCCGTTGCACAGTAGCAGAATGGGGAACATCACAGTTGCGACCCATGCAAGATAAGGCTGAGTTTGCGACGAATAATGCAGATCACTTGGTTTAATCGAAGCCAGTCGACATGCCTTGCGGAACCGATGAAACATAACACAGCAGCAAATCCACGAAATGAACCCTGCGGTATTCGTGACGCTGACGAACCAGTTGAACACTGTAGCCGGGCTACTTGCGCAGTTCATGTACGCGAGAAATGCGAATAGAGAGCTCGCCATCACCGCGTAATAGGGGAGTCCGTAGCTGTTACACCTGGTGAATATTTTCGGTGCCCTACCCGCTATAGCTAGAGAGTAGAGTGAGCGACTGGACATGTAGAGGTAGGAGTTGCCAGACGAAAGTGCAGATGTGATTATCACAGCATTGATCACGCTGTCGAGGCCGTGGATCCCGGCGGTTTTGATAGCGATCACAAATGGTGAAGCCGCGACGCCGGAGCCGTTTGTTAGGCCGGATGCATCGCTTGGACAGATCACGCCCATCGCTAGGATAGAACCGATATAGAATATCAGCAGTCGCCAGAAGCACATCTTCGCTGCGCGAGGAATATTCTTCCGTGGACTTTTCATCTCGCCTGAAGCGATGACGATCAACTCTGGCGTGAAGTTGAATGAGAAGACAGAGTAGCATAACACATAAAGGAACGCACAAAAGCGGCCTGAGTCACCGCTGACGAGATAGGGCTTCATTGCACCTGGTTCTTTCCAGTAGTGGAAGCCCAGTCTTTGGTGATCTGGTCCGCCTCCCCAGAAGAGAATAAAGGATAGGACTAGCAGGCCGATGATCATTAGGACTTTCAAAGACGCGAACCAAAATTCGGTCTCGCCATAGACTTCCACTGGAGCGAAGTTGAGAGCCAGGATAATGACTAGCATTATTGTGATGGAGGCCGCAATGGGAACCGAGTTGGGCCAGTAATTAATGACAATTGCCGCAGCTGTGATTTCGTAGGCGACGATTATTCCAAATGAATACCAGTATAGCCACCCTAGCGCAAAACCAATGCTAGGTGATATAAATTGAGCGGCATAGTAGGCTGGCGATGCACCGGAGATTGGTAAAAAAGTATTTATCTCGCAGGTCGCTGTTAGGACGCCGTAGACGAGGCTACAGATTACGATGTAGGCGATCAGAAGTAGTGCTGGGCCCGCGAGGGCTAGCGCTTCGCCTGTGCCGACAAAGAGACTAGTACCAATGGCACCGCCGATTGCCATCATCTGAGCATGTCTTGACTTGATGCCTCGTCGTGTTTGAGTTTGGGGTTTGTCGATGATTTGACCTTCAATAGGCAATGACTCTGGGTCCATTGAGAACATGGTCTTGGGCTGTTTCTCGATGGACATCCCCATTTTGGCGGCTTGAGATGTTAACTTGGGAATGCAGATAGCGGACCAAAGGGTAAGTATAAATATGTGGTATCTGTTAATTTTCCGTATCTTATTCCGGTATCATGCCAAACTGAGTCAATGAGGTTCAAGATGTATATGCTTTCGGGGTGTTATCTGTTTATCAGAAAGTTAGGCAAGTCTAACCGGCATATCAATGAATCACTCCTCTCTACTAACCTTGTATTAAGTGGATCCTGGGCCTTTCCCCGCATGCTAGCATAATTAGGGCCAGACTTGTATAGCCAGGCCCCATATGATAAAAACGGCGTCGCCACGCGCAGTATCGTTCCAAGCTACACCCGCTCTCCAAAAAACGGCTTCAAGTAGCGAGTAATGTGAGAAGTGAGACAAATAAAATATATGTAGAATGGCTGGGGCTGGAGACCTGGGGAATGGACCTTTCTGGCCCAGCCCCATGCCTCCATGTTCGATATGAGGAATGCTCCAGAGGGCCCGTGCTGATCAATGAGATGAGATCCCTGATCCCACGCCTCATCGAGTTCCCTTCTAGCGTGGCTGATAACATGGAAGCCTTTAGAGTCCGGGGTAGATAAAGAGAAAGGCGTTTGGAGCAAGTCGAGAGCAAGGCAGGAACAACCGGGACCTCTTCCACCTGGGCAAGGGTGAGCACATACTTGCCGGGATTAGTATGAAGTCCGGGCAGCCTACCTAGATAAACAGATTGATCAGCAGAGAAATGGAAGGTTTTCACGAGAGACAAAGCAGATAGGTCTTATCGCCAACCTTGTCTTTCTTTGTCATCATTTCATTGGAAGGCAGTGGCCCATGGATAAGGGATCTAATCTCAACAAGGAGATGACGCTTCCAAAAATCCAGATTCTATCTTGCAGGGCCCAACGACAGACAGCCTGCAGATATCGTCATTGCAGACAATCACTGTTGAAGAATTCTAGGCGAAATCTGCCGGCGTCATTAATACCTTGGTCACTCCCCGAGGTTGCTGTACCTTTGTATGTACACACATGGTCAATATACACACTCCTTTTTATCTTCCCATTACATACATGTATACCTGTCAACATCCACTATCCATATATATTAGAAGCAGAGATCTGTTTTCAAAATGTATATTTTTTAAGGTTCATGGGTTGTGTAACACACCCGGGGGTCACTCCCGTGACTATATATATTGGAAAACCTTATGGAGCCTAGTGAATGAAACAACCCGCTTGGAAGGTAGCATTGATACGAACATTGAACTCGGATCACACGACCTTGGAAAAACAAAAACAAAATAAAACAAAAAGGGTCCAATGTTACACGGCTTGAAATTACGGTTTAGCTCAGTTTGTCCAAAACCGCGATCAAGTGCCAACTTCCAGGGCTTTCAAAGTTGGAAGGTATGAGTACCAAGGGAGTATGTATAATAAGATTGGAAATATGTGCGCTCAGGTCTAAGATTACAATGTATAAGACATGAAAAGGTAAGTTGACTTCGATTGAGTGTTTCCACTTCTGCTTCCGCTTCCTGGGTGCATTCTCGCTGTACAGGGCACCCAGATAAAACGAACGACGCCCATGATGAAAATGTACCAAACCACAAGGGATCCATACGTACAGAGAAGTATATAAAACCAAACCCAAGGAGAATAATGTATAAAGATCCAAAAGGAAATCAAACCAAAAGAAATCAACCCAAGTAAACCCAGCCCTTAACTCTCAAAATACACGCGCAACTCATTTCACTTCATTTACATCGGAGAATGGACTCTCCACACGCGCGGGCGGCATCCGGTCTGTGTGTCTGGAGCTGCGCTTTGCAGGGTCAGCAGTCGAGGCTGTTGTGCTCGAGCTTTCCTGGTCGTGGAAAGGGCTAGTCTCTGAGGTCTGAGAAGGGGATTCGTCGACCTCAATGATAGAGATGGAGGGGATTTTCTTGGCGGTGTTCATGGAGTGGGAGGGGCTGGAGGGCAACGTATCATCGTCTTCATCGGAGGAGTTACCGTCAAAGGTGGAGGTGTGGTGATCGAATTGTTGGGTACTGCTGGTCGCAGAGTTGGAAGTCATGGGCTTTTCAGAGATTGTGACTTCTTTGACGCCGGTGGTATTGGCTCCATCCTTCTTCTTCAATGAGGGACCGCGAACCATGACTGGTTTGGCCATGACGGTGCGGGCGACAATGGAGGAAGAAGAGTTAGGAGAGTTGCCGGCTTGGATGGCTCCAGCCTTGGCGAGTTGGGCGGAAGTAATGGCGGGCACGGCAGGGGCATCGGATGGTGTGATCACCACTGGGGTACCTTGGCCACTGGGAGATGATGTGCCAGATTCTGGACCAGAGTGAACACTGACAATATTGGCGCGCGTTCGGCTGATCTGTTGGGCGGGGACGGCGCTGACAATGGCGTCGTTCCGGTATATGGTAGTCGCAACACTGCTCCGTAGGGTGTTTGCCATGCTCTGATGGCCGGTCATTGTAGTCCAGGTGGAGTCTCGCAGGTCGCCAGGCATGAAGAAGTGTTGGTCAGGGTGAGCACCGGGCAGTGGAGGAACAGGGGGAACCAGGGTCGCCGGGGTCTCTGGAGGTGACCGGTTGGTGACACCAGGAATGTAGGCGATCTGTATGACGTTCGAAGCACGAGTGAGGACGGTGGAGGCAATGGACTGGGTGGACTGGCGCTCAGAGCGGGCCGCGTTGAATTGGCTGCTCTTCTCTTGTTGTTCGGCGCGCTCCTGGCGCTTCTTCCGAATAGCGAACCAATAGATCAGGAAGAGGATCAGGGCCAGACCAGCGATACCACCAACGACACCACCTGCGATCGCACCCGTGTTGGAGCCACCCGATGGTGCTGGCGTCGAGCCACTTGTAGATGATAGTACACATTTGGTGGTGGCACATGAGTCGCAGGACTGACTGGACATGCTACATGTGTAGCCAGACTCGCAGGACGGACAGGTGGGGGAGGTGTCGGAGCATGATACGCAGCGCTTGAAGAGAGAATGGGACGGTTGGAATTCCGTGAAGGTGTTGGAATCAATGTGGAAAGACATGATGGGCGGATAGAATCGGATGCGAAAAGGGGGTGGTATCAACAGTCGACCGGTCAACGGTTCAAACGAATGTGCAGATGGATAATCGAGTAAAGGAGTGTGGGAGGCTCAAACGGCGTCAAGTCGTGAGCGTCAAAGGCTAAATCATGAAAGAAACAAGATTTACTAAAAAAGCAGGAATCTGATGTTTGTTGATGGTGGAAGTAATCCAAAACGAGTGTGGGAGAATGGATCCGATCAAGGACTGAGGCCGAGCATGATCCAAACTGTTTAAGTGATGTGGTAACCCGTGGAGATCGGATCGGGATATAGAGGGATGAAGGAGAAGAGAAAGAGGAGAACGTTCTCCTGGGAGAGTTCAAGTCACGGGAGGCCTGAGCGTGAGAGGCTTGGGTTCCACTCTACACGCAAGATGAGCGGGGGGGTAGGGATTAGGCTAGTCTATTAATTTAGCGATCGGGAAAAAATTTAGAGCCGAGATGAAGAGACCGATGTTCTAGCAGATATAAAGCTTCTATCATGTAATCCTGATATCCCATGTTTCAACCCCCTTTTTGCGGCACCTTGCAGAGTGCCTGGACTACATGTACTGTGTACCTGACTTGGCCCTACGTCGTCAACGGGAGTCTGGACTCGGATCATTGTCGGGCCGGGAAATTACGTCCGAGTGGAGCAGAATGATTGGCTCAAGCATCAAGCACAGATCAATGAAAACACAGACACAATTAGCAAAGATTTCTCATCACAAAGAACATAGAGAAAGTTAATTCTAGTCTGACTGTTCAAAGCGGATGGGCTAAAAAGACTAAAAATAGTAAAACTAGGTGAGGCTGACGAGACAGAGAACCAGGGGCGCTGATGAGGCTGGTTTTAATTTATTTACTACAGGAGCTTCGATCCCGATCACAGCCCTGCAGGGAAAGTTCTACTGTACGGTTACATACTCCATAGAAATCTCGGAGCATCTGAAGTGCCAAGGATGAGGGTTAGAAACCGAGTAAGATTGGAGGAGGCAAGCTGAGACACGGGAGGCGCAGCCACTTAATTACTGCCGTTGAAGGTCACATGATCACCGATCAACCAAGTCCGGCATTGCCTCAATCTATTCAAGAGACATTGTCGCCATGCAGTACAGGACTACGGTACCGCCTCCAGGTACTTTATGAACGAACAGATCGATTCACTTTCGGCACGGGTCGGCGTACATAAGAAGGGTGGCGTACACGAGAGGGTGGCGTACCGACCTGAAATATGCATGCTCTCCCGAGCCGTGCGGCACATACCAAAGACATCATACCGATGGAATTGGTGGTATCAAAGTTCATCTCACAGGAATGTTGGAATGTGGCCAGTCCACTTTGCACCGTGTTTCACCAGTGGAGTCCGTTGATTGGAGTCGAGGCCCAAAGTGGAGCCTCTTGCTGAAACTAGCTAAGTGTGTGGAGGATCTGGAGAAGTACCAAAATAAAGTAGATTAAAGTAGCGAAGGCGAAAATCGGGACTTTGCCAACGCAGAGATGGAGAGACTCGTCTCCGACATTACTCACAAAGCTGGCCAATTAGACTTATAGGAATGAACATTGTAATACATGAATCATGATGCGGTAACGGCCGTAACAATACTGAATTCCAGCCCAAGCGTTAATGCCAAGACAGGACCCTGGGCCCTGTTTTGACCCTAGTTTGACCTTGAGAGTGACCCTATTTGGCTCTATTTGACCCTGACAGGGCTCCATAATCAAGTACTCCATACCAGCTCGATACCTCAACTTTCAAGGGATGAGATATGCAAGTGTTGCATAGGCCAAACAATCCAAGCCCTCAGAAACAACCGCACAGAAACAATCTTACAGCCCATACGAGAATACAATGTTCCCCTAGAAGAAAACAAGGTTGGGCTAGCCTGGATGGGATTAGAGACGATCTATTTTTGCTCTCTTACAGAATAATAC